ATGTTTTTATTTCCTTTGCGTAAGTGATAAGATTTGGTGCTGTGTCTAATTGTCAACTTATCTTGTCTTTTTATCATCTTCAGTGATGAATATATATTATTGGTGAAGAAAAGCAAAAACGAAAAACAGAAATGAGCAAAAATCAACGAAATTGAATTAGATTAATCAATCAGGTGAACCAGTGAGATAAAGCTCATGTTTAGTTTGATGGATTAGGTGGAAAGATTATATTACAACAGAATTTTCATCTCTCTCTCTTTTTTCTTTCTTTTCTTTTTATCATCAGAATTAGTATCATCCAAGTTATCATCATCTTCATCTCTTCTTGCTTTTTTCTCTCACATTCAAGGTAGAAAATATTTCACAGTAAAAACCGGAACCAGAAAAGTTAAGGTAACATAAGTGATGTCGTTGTTTATGATGATATATTGTGTACTTCAGGTTGGTGTCAACCTAATTCCGGATTAATCTTAATTCAGATCATGTTCATCGTGTTCATGATGCTCTTCATTATATCAAAGTATCATCTTCATGAAGCAACAACAAGAAACAAGTGAAATTAAGAAGAAAGAGGAAGAAGATGAACAGATTTCTTTTCAACAGAATTAGAGATAGATTAATATCTTTACTTTTCACTGAATTCATAGAAAAGGATAAGATTAATAATCGGACGATAAGATGAAAGTAAAAGATGATGATGATGATGATGATGAGGTAAAAGGATGAGAGGGTTTAAACTATATGTGGCTACCTGTTGAAAAAAAGATGAGGATGTTTCTTGATGTAACCTTTTCATTTGAGAATTGGTTATATTTTAATCAACTGATCATGTAAACAGTGATTCCTTGATTGTAATGATTTAATGTTGAGATAAATAAGGAAAATCAATTGATGAAAACTCTTCACATTACATTGATTTACAATTTACAAGGAATTGATTGTAACCGATTCTGAAAAAAAAGTAATTTAAAATGAAAATGATAATAATGATGAAGGATAAAAGGTTGAAAATGAGAAAGCAAAGAAACAGGAAATTGTTCATCTTCTAATCATCATTTTCATCCTAAAAATGTCAATAGGAAGAGGGAAAGAAAAAAAAATCTCTTTGAGTTGATCATTTTCATTTCATTGAACACGCAAAGATGATGATGTTCATCATCATCATCATCATCACGAAAACGATCTAATAATAATGAAAAAAAAGTCCTGGTAAGGTCAATCTTAAAGTCATCAACAAGTTAAGGTCACTCTGTCCACTCACTCATTCAATTGTTGTTATTATTATCATGATTAGACATGCAGACAGGCAGAAAAAAGTGATGTTGATAATGATAAAGATGCTAATAACTAATGGTGATGATGACCACTGAATATGAGGGATCTTGTTTTTTAGGTGAAAAACGCAAGAGAGAGAGAGGCCTAGATACATATTTGCATGTCAATTGATGAATTAAAGGGTAAATAGTCATAATAATAGGAAATACCATGATGGATTATGAGGAAGAGAGAGAGAGAGAGAGAGAGAGACTTTGAAATGATAAACGGAAAGATGGAGAAAAGTAGCCTTAGGTCATTGGTCTGATCAAGGAACCTTAACTTTAGAACTTTTTTAGGAAGAAATTTTTTCAATTCTTGTTGAATTCTGTGATTCAAAAGGGAAAAGTTCAGCAGATCACTTTTATCTTTTCCTTTCATCACCTTTTATCCTGAACATATGATCTGAGAATATACATAAAAAGTGGTAATCAAATTTAATTACAATTTGTCATTTTATGAAAGCAGTAAATGCCACTGGTTTCTATAAATCTCTTTTAAGAGTTAAATCAACAGAATATCGGTTAAACATGATCAACATTAAATGATTCAAATTGATACAATTAGTCAGAAATGATGCAAACAACAGGTAAGTTTTATACCATTTTAGATTGATTGTTTTCCAACAATCAATTAACCTGCCAACAAATTGTAACAAGAGTTAAATTAAAAATCAAGGTAGTAATCAAATATCATGGACACTTAATGATCCTCAAAAGTTTAAAGTTAATCATTCAAGGTTAATAGTAAATATCGTAATTATCATAATCAGAAATGAAATATAATATTAATATTATATTAATTACGGAAGTTATTACAACAATAACAGAAAAAGAAGAAGAAAAAAAAAATTCCAAATCAAGTTATAGGCTGTCAATGAATTTTTTTCACTGTATCAATAACATTGATTCCTCTTTGATCTTGTTGTTATATTTATCATCTTCACAACAACAGGTAGTAATAATGTAGATAATTATTATTATCATGAGAGGTAAAAATTGCATCAGAATTACAATTGAATCAGAATCATCATGTAATATAATGGGAACTTTAAGAGAAAACTTTTTCATTATAATCAAGTTGGTGATGATTATGATTCTAAATCATTGTGATTAAGACGCTATTCCGATGGTGATTATGAAAGAGAGAGAGAGAGATAATTTCAACTATATTATCATCTTAATCATCATGATAATCATTGTAATCCTCCTTGGTTAACCTTTAGTTCAAAAAAAAACTCAGAATCTCAGTTTCTCAAGGAATCCTTAACATCATCAGAACTTTTTTCTGGTCTCAACAGAAAGCATGATGATCATCATCCCGTTGACAATGTTCATCATGACGATGATAATATATTCATACGGAAAAAGGCAATTTAAGGTCACTTCTCACACTTAACGAATTATTTTTTTTAGCATCTTAATCTATCAAATCTTTCAAAGTAATGATATTTATCATCATGTTCTCAGAACTATTTTTTTACTATTTTACCTTCATGAAGATGATAAACTTTTACTCTTCCTATTATTTATTCATATGCATTCAGTTATTATCATTATTCAATGTATTCAATTAATCGTAATCAATGATAACAATGAGACGATAGTAACGGCAGTATTAACAAGCCAATGACCTGAACATGAAGACGACGCTTGACAATCAATAGATTGTTATTATTTTCATCTAATTGTTATCAAACCTTCAAATGTTATTATTATTTAGTAATTAACTTTATCGTTAACTGATTGATGAAGATAATTGGTAATTGGCATCTATGTAATAACAATTAAGGTCAGAGAAATGAAATTTTGTGTCAAAATAAATCGTGAAAAGAAAATTGAAATAAATCATGTTACAGGGTTAAATTGTTACAATTAAAATTGTATTGATTGAAAGGTGAATTGATGATTTCATTTGATTCAAACATAAAACAATTATCACCCCATCATCAGTAACAATCAATGTAACAATCAATTCATCTTATTATTGAATAGAAAATGAGTTAATAGTTGCTAACCATTTAACGTTAATCATTTTGTTCATTTGATTGTTGAGACAAGATTGATCAATGGTGTTAACAGCAATCAATCAGATTCACTGTTTGGTCAATTAAATGGACTTCAAACATTTTGCCTTAATTTAGTTTACAATGTTATTTGCAATGGTTATCACAAACAATCAAGGTAACAATTTAAAGGGTTTTCCATGTAACAAATTAATAATAATTATCAATCCTTTTGACAATCAACAATCAAAATAAAATCAATTTGAAAGGAAACTTGAAAACCTATGGAAAACCTTTACAATCAATATTATAGATGTTCAAAGTAATAATATAATTAATTAATCACTTTCAGTATGAAAGGATTGTCATAACCTTTTATCATTAATACATATAAATATTACTTTTGATTAACGATTAAGTGTTAATTGGAAATCATTTAGATTGATAAACCATTGAGACTAAAATAATAATCAATGATCATCACCCAAGTAGTTAAATTAATATTTATCATTTTGAGGGTAAAATAATTGCAAATTAAACTCAGGTAAATGATTACCTTTTACAAATAATACTTTCTAACAACTAATCAATTAAATAATTGCTCCAAGGAGTTAAAGTAATTAAAAGTAGAGAGAGAGAGAGAGAGAGAGAGAGAGTAAATAAAATGTTAATCAGAACTTTCTCCGATTTTCAGATTCAGAATCATCAAGTGAATCTGAAGAAAGTATCATGAAAAACTGAATAATATTCAGTCTGCTTGGATAATGGATTGATGGTTATATTATAATAGTTAATTAACTTTTCCTGATTATCATTAAAAGTTATTCATCAAGCAAGAAACTGAAAAAACAACAGCCCAATGAGCATCAACAATCAACAGGTAACAAAATGAGATTCAGGTAAAACTTTGGGGGCAATAAAGGGACAATTTTGAGCATATTAACCAGTAATATGAGTAGAAACTGTTCAAAATTTGACTGATTAGTTGTCCACACACTTGGGACTCTTAATTAGATTGAAATTAATTGGGAAACCAAGTTAATTTTGATAATTAGCCGCAATTTGAAACCGAGAAAAACAAAACTCAAGTGACAATTTTTGAGCTGATGGACGATTCTTGTGGCCGAAAGGTCTCCATCGTGCACTTTACAGGCCGAAGTAAGTAAGTTTATTCCTCCTGCGCAATGAGAAAGTTTGATTGTTGGCATTTTAGGTCATTTAAATTAACTTTCAATTCTTATTCTTTATATAAAGTTAACCGCTTTTATCAAACTTTCTCATCAACCCTCAAGTTTACGAGGAAACAGATTCGATCCTGGGTTGTTCACCCTTTGGTTACAATAAACTTGATCAGTTAATTGAAATTAACTTTCAATTAACACTCATACACAAGTAGAACAGTTGGTCTGACCCAATTAATACAAATTTCTTGAGACTCACCTTCCCTTTTCGACAGGTATTTGTAAACTTATCCAGCCCAAAGTCCGTCAAGTTGTTGAGTTTTTCAACCATATGAAACTTGGATTTGTCTTGAAACTTGGAATCAAAGTAAACTTTTGCTTTCCACAAATCGATCACAGGCTAAATGGACACTGGCTAATCTTTACTGACCCAATTATAATCGACTAAAGGAAACATTTAATTGTACACTTAAAGAACAGTAATTTAGATTGAATATAAAAATGAACAGTCAGACTTGAGATTTGAACAAAACGGGTTGGTAAACAATAGATTTGATTGGTCAAAGTTGATGAGAAAATGCGGTCAATTCAAAAAGGTTCACCTTTCAATGGGAAAAGATTGAGGTGGAAACTTCGATCCACCAGATGGCAGATGTTCACAAATGGAATCAAATTTTTTCGGTTCTCTTTTGATTCGATGGTCGATGTATCGATGAGAAAATTTTATCCAATCGATGAGAGAAAACAAAAATTCATTTCCAATTCTCTGAAAAGATTAAATTGTTTATTATTTACTTTTTTAATTTCTTTCATTTTCTCCATTGATTCTTTTAGATTAACAACGACTGGTTAATCTTTTGCTTCGATATTTTCACGTAATCGTTGGAATCCTGTGGAAAAGTTTCGTCGTTTCTTTCGTTTCTTCTCCTTCTTCTTTTTCCTCTTTTTCTCCTCTTCTTTTTTTACCTTTTTGTTTATCTCTTGTTTTCTCTCTCTCTTTCTTTCTTTCTCTTTCATTCTTTATTTGCCTTTCCCTTTTTTTCTCAGGAAGAATTTTTATATCTAAATTGTACTATAAAGTGTAAAAATTGTTTGAAAGACAATAATCGACACAATCGTTGTTCTCATTTAGTCTTTTTCTATGGAGGTGAAACAAGAAAGCTCCAAAAGTGGTCCTGGTAGTAATAATGGTGATGCCAATGATTCCATTGAACCTCCGAGTAAAAAATTCCGAGCCACTGAAGATGTTGATATTCGCCTTCTCATCTCACGAAAAGAAGCTGGTGCAATTATTGGTAAAGGCGGTGTAAATATAAACCATTTACGTAAAACGTATAAATCTAGTGTAATCATACCCGATTGTCCAGGTCCAGAAAGAGTTCTCACCATTGTTATCTCATTAAACACGCTCAATGAATTTATGATGGACATGATTGGCTATCTTGATGATAAGAATAATGAGAAAGAGGTTGAATTGAGATTATTAATTCATACTTCTATTGCTGGTGGAATCATTGGTAAGGCTGGAAAAAAGATTCGTGAATTACGGGAACAGACAAAAGCAGCAATTAAACTGTACAGTCAATGTTGTCCCAATTCAACGGAAAGAATATGTGCCATCACTGGGGGAACCACGGTAGTCGCTAATGCGGTTAAAGTTATTCTTGATATAATTATGTCAACTCCGCTTAAAGGTGTAGTTAAATTGTACGATCCTCGAATGACCGATCCACTTGCAACCAATGCCATTGAATATGGAGGTATAGTTGATCCAACTTACACCAATTCAGTTTATCGTAATCTAACCCGATTATCTAATGGTGGTCCGAACCCGTTAACACTTACAAGAACTCCTCTTGCTGGTGAACATTGGGATGGTCGAAGTGCACTTCATTTACCAATGGCCGATTTAAGAGCAGCCCCAGCTGATCCCAAAGCATGGCTTCAAGCTGCTCAGGCTTATCAATATGCTCCTCATCACACTGCCCAAATGGGACCTGATGTTACCGGTGCCCCGATACCAACAACAACTGACCTTTTCCATCGATGGGTCACTCCTGTTAAATTTTAAAGTAAAGCACACATACAAAATTCACTAAACACTTAACCACACACACACACACATACAAATGATGCACAGACTCACACATACAACAAGAACAAACAATCAACACAATATTAACACCGGAAAACAAAAGTTGACCTTTACTTTTACCAGAACAGCTTCATCACTGGTTCGAAGTAAACAAAAAAGAACAAAATTTCTTTCTCTTTCTCTTTACTCTATTTACTTTCACCATCGTTGAGGCCTCGCTTTTTTTTTCTTTACCACTAATTACAATTGGCTAGAAAAGTCGATAACTGAAGCCACACACCGAATTGACGGATTTTTCGATTCCTTTGACTCTCAATCGAATCGCTTGTCCAAACCCATCAAAGGTACAAGAAAAAGCCACCGGAAGCTAATCACTCAGCGAAAATCATCTTATTTTCAAATTCTATTTTCTAACATCTTTCTTTCTCTATCTCTCTCTTTTCTCTGTCAATTTTGTCTTTTTTTCTCTCTCTCTCTATCATCTTTCAACTCTACTCAACTTACCATTAATTCAACTACTTTTGTTAATTATTCATCTTACTTATTAATGATAATTAATGGAAACAAAAAATGACCATTTAACTTAATGTGATGTCCAAAGGATGCACATTTCAGTGGTGTGTCTTTATCTCTGTCTCTTTTCCTCTCTTTATATCTTGTGTCTTTCTCGTAATGGAAATCAAAAGGAATCAGTTTAAATGAATGATAACCAATCATCAAGAGGCTAAATCAATACTAACAATTAACCAAAAAAAATCTAAACATTTCATTAATCTTGCAATTGAACAATGAACCACGAAAGAATCAAGCCAAACCTAATTGAAAAAGAAACAAACAGAAAAGAAATGGAAACAAAATTAATCAACCAACTAAACACAAATGGGACCTTGTATGATGAATGAGTTAATTGTCGCAATTAACTTAGCCTGTAAAATGTTTTTGCATATTAATTTAACTTATTCATGAAAAACAAATAAGAAAAGTTATCTTTCTCATAGAAAAACCTTGATCGAGTTGACTTTTCCTTATTTATCATCATCATTATCATTTCAAATTTTCCAATCAAGTAATTAAGAGAAATTAATTGTTCGTCATTTAATTGTGATAATTGATTCTGATAATTTACTTTTTGTGGACTAAAAAACTTTTACCTGAACATTTCGAGGCCTTTTAACTATCAGCTGATCATTTTAAAGTGTTCATTTTGATGAAACAATTCGGAGACAAACTGATTAACTGATTAATTCATTGGAAATAATTAAGTTAATCAGTTTGCTAATTAACTTTGTTGATCATCTGTTTTTGTACTAATTGTTTATCCCTCTGTAAATTGTTAATGTTCATTTCTAATCAATGATCTGTCAATTTGTGATTTACTCAAGATGTAAATTTTTATACGATAATTAAAATTGTATTTTCTAATCTAATTAAGATTGATTGTAAATAATTACCCGTTAATTAGTTTGAAAGAGACACAAAGTTAACCTGAACAATCAAGGAATTGTAAGAAAACCAAAAACTATTCATTTCTTTTGACCAATCAACTGAAAAGCAACAACAATCAGCACGTTATAAGACAATCAAATTAACGATTTTTCTTCCAAATTAAATTGTCAACAACAATCAAATCAATTTCGTTAACTCCTTCTTATCATCATAATTATCAGATTATCTTCATGTGAAGATTGGGACAAGAAAAAAAAATTCGAGAAAAAAAGTTTCACTTTATTTATGTACTTGGATTGTAAAACCAATAAGATCAACAGTTGATTGTTAAGTGAATTAGTTATTAATTAGTTAATCAATAATGTCTCTAGTCAATTATTATTATCAATTATATGAGAAATTGTTCTGGGGCGATCTCAAAGTGACCAGAGCTCAAGACTTTTTCCTGGTCAATAGTAGTTGGGGATTACCGTTCATTTTGGCCATTCAATTGACTTTTGTTATGTTCCTTGGACCCAAATGGATGTCAACTCGTAAACCATTTGACCTACGACCTCTTCTAATTGTGATAAATGGCCTTCACTTTGGTACTTATGGTTGTGGTATCTTGTTACTTGGATATGGAATTAGTTTAGGCCGTGATTCTTGGGCTTGTACGGCAAAACCATCGGACGATTTTCGTGATGATGTTATGCTACGAATCGCTTATGCCCTTTTCTGCATGAGAATTTTAGAATTGACCACACCCGTTATCATGGTTCTTCGAGGTAAATCAGGCCAATCGCCGATCGCCAATTCCCTCTACAATGGATTCTACATCTTAATCATTTACCATTGCATGAATCGCTACTACAAAGATATGGTTTATCTTTATCCTTATACCGACGCGATGAAGATCACATTGAGATCGGGCTACTATTCACTCACCTCTCCAGGACCTGATTTCCGGCGGTTCCATTGGCCTAAACACTACGTGACCATATTTTCACTAATTGTCGCTCTTTTCAACGTTTATCACCTAATCTACTTGATCGCCAATAATTGTGACGGACCGAAAGTGTTAATGTTTTCATTTCTAACTCTTGCCTTGGGCGAAATCATCTTTTACCTCATCAAACTTAGTCCACAATCAGGTAAACAAATGGATCTGATCAACAATCAACAACAATCAATTGCCAAGGAGGGAAAAAAATTACATTGATCATAATTGGAAACAATTTGTACTTTTTTTCCTTGATTGTTAATTTTTAATTTTCTTTGTTATTGACTGGGATTTAAACTATTACAGTCAAGTGTAAAAATCAATCAAATTTTGTGATTGATTGATTATCTTAATCACTGTAATCAACTATTGGGAAATTACCAGAGACTAAATTCTGATTGCAATAAAATCACTTGAAAGTCGAGCAACAATTAACCATAATCCTCAATATCACATTCAAATTATTTCAATTGTAATTAACTAATCAATTCAATTGTGACAATAGTTTAATTGATTGTAATCAATGATTGTTGATGATTACTTTAAATGGGTCATAACCTTTGCTAGCTGATAATTACAATCAAAATTGTTAATATTTAAATTAAGATATTGTAACAATCAATGAAACTTTCAACGATCAGAAATCAAAGAAAAAATCAAATTCAGTTGATTAAAGAGTCACAACTTAATTGTTACAATATCAGAACAATTATCGCCCATGTTGATTGATTATTTTCCTCTTCAAGAGGTTGATTGGTTAATTTTGATTGTTGATTTGTTGGAATTGATAATCACAAGGAGTAAATGAGAAGCGGTTTCAATAGCGACCTGAAAATATTTGTCAACAATTAGTTAATTGTGATTAGAATGTGTTAGAATTGAATGAAAAGATACTTACCATTAGGTAATTTAAATTGTTCATCTCAAGAGTTTCAAATACAGTAAATAATTTACGACCAATCAGATAATCAGAGATTACAATTAGCTTTATTTTAGAGTTAATTGTGAATTGATTGGATCTGATAAATATGATCCGATTTAATTGTTTGCGACATTCATCAAACTGATTGCAATGAATTAGAATGAAACAAATTTAGTTTGGTAATTATTTAATTGTTGTATCATAATTTTACCTTAATTCTTGCGTATGCTCCAGTAAAAAAGGTAACTGATTGACCACAAATTAAGTTAATCAGTCCAAGAGCAATTAAAACAGTTCGAGTGATCAAATTTAACGAGACGAAAAAAACTAAATATAAAATTAAAATTTGAGCAAAAAATGTACAGATAAAGATGCAACTATTTAATTGAGACCAGAAATTAAGAGTTTGATTAACATCCTGAAGTAAAACAATCAGCTGATTCACTTTGATTGTGATTGTTTTTTCACAATTAAACTGGTCAATAAGATACGATCGAAACAATTTACTAATCAATTGAAATTTTTGACCAATTGTGAAAGCATAGAAACTGAAAATTATCCCAAAATTAACACAATTAGTTACAACATTAAACGAGCCAAATGCAGCAATTAAACCGTTAATTGTTGTAGCCAATGAGATTAATGGATCTGAATTAACTAATTGTGGTAAATGTAATGATAAAGCTGATAATATACCTCCAATTGTTGATAATTTCATGCAAGTAAATGACAATTTAAATGCTAATCGGACTGATTTGATCGGTGAAAGATTTGTCATGATTAACAATTTAAACCATTGCTGCTTTTTAATTGAACAATTTGATTGTTTAATTAACTTCCAACAGTAAATTGTACACAAACACCATAAACAATTAATAAACCAAACGGTATCGTGAATATTATCAAGGATTGTGGCATAATCACCAAGGTAAATTGCGATAATTGGTTTAATTGTAAATTGGGTGAAAATTAAGGCTCGTATTACATATGAGGTAACAATTAACAAACCAACAATTGATAAATAATGATGACAATTAGAAACTGATTTAGACAAATAGTTTAATTCTAGAAATGTATAGTAAATGAAATAATCAGTTAATTGGTTTTGAAAATAATCTGTACGTTGATTTGGTTCATCGTCCATTATTTTATAACAATTTAATACAATTAATGAGATGATTAAGTTAATTGTAACATCACTTTCGGATAATCAAACTTGTAAATTTTACTTTCATAATCACAATTAACTGATTCTTTGCTACGAGATTTTGTCTTGATCAGATTTAATTGTTTGCATGATCAGTTTCACTTATTATTTTGTTAATTGCGTGATTTAATCATTAATTGATTTAACTTTCATTAACTTTTTGCTTGATTATTGTAAAGTAAAATAAAGTAATTAAATTAAATTGCTAGTTTTAAAGCTATTAAATTAACTAACATTGAAATTGATATAGAAAGTTTTAATTGCTTAATCAATTGATTGAGTTAATCAATTAAATCTTGTATTTATAGATTTGATCTGAACAATTTAGTTGATTGTTTTGCTAATTTTTCAGATTAATCCTTTGGTCACCTTGATGATTAGTTAATTAGTGTCTGGAAATGATTAACATGCAATGAAACAATTAAATAGCTTTAATTGTGTCAGATTGTGAATAAGATTTGGCAGAAATAAATTAAATTGCCATTAGATTGCTGATCAATTTGTTAATTGTTGTAAATTTCAATTAGCATTTAACTGATTTAAAATGAGATGTTATTTGCTAGATGATTAATCAAATTGATTGTGATAACAATTTGATAATTTAATCGAGATGTTTTGTTTTTGTGTACAATGAAAAAATCAAATTTGTATCAAATTAAATCAATTAAATTGTCAATTGAATAAAAAGAGGATGGATCTTGATTCTTGATTAAAGTTTGATTGTGATTAAAACAATTAGCAACAATTGGAATCGTGAGAGAGAAACAAAAATATTACATTGAGATTCATTGGAATTATTAGTTGATTGTTGAGGCTCTTTTAGATCAGCAATTAGAAAAGATAATTAAATTAAACAGTAAATTTGTTGTTCTCACAATTATCCTAACTAATTAATCTGAATCATACTTTCTTTAACGTTAACTGTTAATTAACCAGTCAATCAAATTAACTGTTGAGCAAATCCCTTAACTAAATTAAGAAGCAAGAAAAAAATATTAATAATAATACTTGACACGAACTCAAAATCCTGAACAAATTGATTATCACAAATAGAGAGACGATGATAATAATAATTATCGAGGAAAAGAAGTTCAAATTAATACTGATCAGAGGGATGGAATCAATTAGATTAAATGCTAATTCTAAGCTATCAGGAGAGAGTAAATGATTAACGGTAAAACTGAGATAACGCCGAAGGCTATTAATCGGCCTGATCCATTGCATCCGTCGGTATTACAGATACATTCCTCGACGGTGGGTAATCCCCTGTCGCTGACGTCCTTACAGCCCATGGATTCTGGTGTTTCCGGTAGACTTGGATCAAGAACTCCACATTTACGGACATGGAAAGTTTCACCATTAACTATTGCGAAAAAGAGATAAATTGATTGAGTTATTAATCGTTAATATTGTTAACTAATTGTTGGACACTTACCATTTTGTGTTATCTTCAGGCAAACCTTTTCATTATCAGCGCACTTTTTTTTGGCAAATACTTGACCAACAAATGGACTATTGCAACCAGGATTTATGTTTCCTTTACACATCCAGCATTCGAGTCCATCAACGGTTACTATTAGTAAATCATGATGTAGCAATTAACGAAATCGAGATGATATAAAAAAGAGATGAAAAGGAAACAATTAAAATTGTAATGAAGGAAATTAAATGTAAATATCATTAGGAAATGTTGGTTAACCGGATATGTTTTTGTTTATCTTTTCAAGTGATCAGTTGATTTGATTGTTGCTTTCATTACGATTTCAACTGTTTAGCAATTTAAATTTGAGATTCGGTAAATTGTGATTAATTGTTGTTGATTTTATTGAGCAATAATAATAATATATTATATTGAGAGTGATTATTATCATTGGATCTACAAAATAATCAAATGTTATTAGGATTTAGAGTTAATTTTAATAGTAGTTTAATTAATGTGAATGTGTGTGGGTTTTGTTTTTGTAATTAGTTAATTGTTTGGTGCGATTGGTTTAATAATTGTTGCTCTTTTTCAGAAATTTTTGTTTCTTATTATAAATTATTCATTAATCAAGAACTAGTAATTGTAATCAACAATTAAAATCAGCAAAGAAAACAAAACAATCATTGAGGTTTCTTAATCATTTCTTTCAATCTAATTTAAGCAATTAATACAATTTACTGATGATTATAGTTAGTTAATTACATTTACAATTTGCTGGAGTTTAAATAGTTACAATTTAGTTTTAATTGTTTCGAGTTTTTCTTTAATAATTGTAATCGTTTTTATCAGTTTCAATTATGTATAATAGTAAAATCTAAGTGTTAATCAATAAATTGTAATACTAAATTTGATTACAATCAAATTGGTTTACAGTAAAGTTAATTAATTGTTTGTTGTACTTGTTAATTGAATATGAGATGTAGCATTTTTTTATAATTGTTGTCATCGTTTGAGTTACAACAACGAGACAGTTAATTGTAGACAATCAACCAATTGATTCCTTATTAATATCTTTTTTTTGTTATTATTTCAATAACAATTAAAAATTGCTATTTGATTGTTTTTCTTTGAGACAATATTGTGATTAAGTTAATTGTTAACAAGTAAATGAAAAAACATATACTAAAGGCAGTGTATCGATTGATATGATTAACCTGCTGCCTGATTAACTAAATTAGTTTAATTAGTATTTGAGTGAGTCAAATTATGTTGAAGTTGAGTCTTTGTGTTTTTTTGATTTGGTTGAGTTTTCATCATTTAATCAGCTGATTGTTAATCATAAAATTGATTAAAAGGGTAATTCAATTTGGAGGCAGTGGCCAATCAAATCAATCGACATCCTCTTATATTGGGATTCAAATGGATTGAGTTGATTAGTGACAATCAATTTTAATCAACAATTAAACAAAAAAAGAGAGAGAGTTTAAAATAATCAAATGAAATCAAATGAATGATTAAGGAAATGAATGAATCACAAATTGATAGTCAAGGAAATTAAGATGATCATTTGGTTGATTTAGCTTAATAGACTTTTCAATGGTTAAGGAAAATTGAAATAATTGGAATTGGAAATTAATTGAAAACAATAACAATTAAAAGAAATGGCGATAACTGGATAGTAGAAGCAAAAAGAGAGGAAAATTAAGACTAGAATTTGAATTGATTAATTGACAAGGATCAAGAAGATTGTATGTAAATCTAATTAACTGTAATAATATCTCATATTGGCGATGTTGTTTGAGTTGTTAATTTGTTTAGTTCGACTAGAAGTTGACAATTTAAATCGTAAAATTGATTAGTTTGTTGATGTAGCCTAAAGAGATGATGGAGATTAAAAGTGTAATGATGGACGTTGATTGTTGAGAGATTCCTTGATTACACAAATCGCCTCGACAAACACATTGAGTTTGGGTAAGACCTAAGGATCCAGTTCGTTGTATGCAGGTAGGCTGTTCGGTGGATGCATCATACCAACCACATGAACGGAAAACACGTACAACGTTTTCAACTGAAGAAATAGCAATTGTTATGAGAGAGAAAAAGAAGAGAGAGAAAAGTTAATTGTTGAACTAATCATTATCATCATTATCATACTAATAATGCTAATGATTAAAAGGAGTGAGTTAATTTACTAAACTAATAATAAAACAGCGAGAGAAAAAAATATCTAATAACTAACAAGGAACAGGCAAAGGAAAAAGGTTAAAATAATTAATAGTGTTGACAATTAAAGTTAATTGAGAGCGTCAGGATTTGGATATTAATAGTAATAATTGTGACCATGAGAAATGGGATAGTAAACAATTTGCTAATAATTTATGAATGAAATGATTGAATTAAAAGGCAAGAATCAAATGATAAGTGTTAGAATATAAAATAAAAGGAAATTAAATCTAATTGTGATAATATTATTTTCATGAGTTAACAAGATGCTTTTTGATGATGGAAACAAATTGCCAAAGTTAAATTGTGTGGATTAGATGAAGGAAACAATTGGAGAAATAAATTGCATGCAATAAGAAGGAGAGAGAGAGAGGAAAAACTAAATTGTTACTATTAAATTGCAAAGGTTTTGATTGTTGTGTTAATTGTGATTTGAGAGTTAAGGTTCTTAACCTTTTTGCAGAACTTTCCTACAAACGGCAACATATTGGGTTCCATTTCGGCTTACATGAGGCGCTAAGCCGTGATGTGATTCATTACGAACTATTTTCTCGATCTCAAGGGTACAATTGGCCTTATACTCGATCGCAAGTGCACCAGTATCGGGTGGATCATAGGGATCCGAACAGTAAGGTTTGTGTAAAGAGTTACAAGAGTAACACGTAAGACCATTGACTGTGAATTAGAATGGGAAAGGTTGGAAAAGTGTGACAAAGAAATAGATTGTTCATTCTTAATTGTTCGCAATAAACAAGATTACAATTAAAGGTGTTAATTGTAAACAATATAATTTATATTAAATGATGAGTATGATGAGAATAGAAAATTAAAAGAGAAATAATAATAAACAGAAACACACACACATACGTAGTATTTGTAATAGTTATAAATACACACGAAAAAAGGAGATGATGAAAGAGAATCACAATTAAGACTATTGTTAATGTTTACTATTAGGTAAGTAATATCAATTGATAGTTAATTGTATTAAGACAATTTGTCAATCATTTGTTAATTAGTTGGGTGAACAAAAAAGTGATTGTAATTAAATGATTTGACAACAACTGATTTCATTGATTGTGAAAGTTAACATGATCATGGTTGATTGGATGTTGGATAAATTCAATTTCATTCTGGTAAATTGTTACAATGAAATTGATTAACTTTTTTTTGTTCTCAACAATTGAAAGATGAGTAGATTAATTGTAAACAATCAGATTTTTAATTGTTTGAATCAAATGTTGATTAAAATGTAACCAACCATGTTAACAATATTTACAGTTAATGGATTAAATTGTCCAAGAGGTTAAGTGATTTAATTGTTCAATGGTATAAATAAGATTAATTGTTGGTTAGGAGGTAAAATTATTAATCAACTATTAAAATGGTTATGATTAAATACACTAGAGTGTAAATGACAGGGCATTAATAGTGGACAATCAATTGATCAAGGTGATTTTCTCTGTGTTTAGTTAATTTCCTTTATTATCATAATTGATTTCCCATTTACAATCAATTTTGACAGATATTGATAATATTAATTTAACAATCATATTGGTGATTGGTTAAAGGTGTGACTAAATTGTAATCGCTCAAGGATAAAGAGTAAACCAAGATAATTATAAGAAGCGAAAGTTAATCAACTTAATTACATCAATTAAACAATAGAAATAAGATGAGAATGAGTAACATGATTTAGGCAAATTGATTATTTGAGTTAATTATTTTCATTTGATATCAAATTGAAAATAAAATATTAATTATCTTAAACAATAAGAGGATCAATTGAAAAAAAAGGGAATAAGATTACAATCTAATTAAAGGAGAAGACAACAAACAATTAATCAACTGGAGTAGTAATTAGATATAACTGAATTAAGGTTAATTTCAAGATTATCTCAGTAATCATAAGCCTAATCTTCAAATAGCGTGGAATCAGTTTGATTTGGTAAAATTTTCTTCGAGATTAATCCAATATAAATCAAAATGAATTGTTGATAATACAGAAAAAAAATATCTATCAACAATTACAATTGTAATAGTCTAATAATATTACAATAATATTAACCTTCAATTGAACATGCAATCAATATAATCAACAGAATCGAGATCAAATGGGTGAGCTAAATTGTCGGGGGAAAGATTATGATTTATCGTTGAGCTGAAAAAATTTGATTCTATAAAAATTATCACAGACAAACCGATAACCTCCTTAAGGGGTTTAATTAAAGGGGTTAAATTGGATAGGAATTAATTATAATAGCTGACAATTAACGTGTTCTCCTTCAAGTCTTGTATATCTTTTCATTCTGGTTCTGGTGTTCAATGGATCCTGATAACTGCAAGAAACTCTGACAGGGTCATTTCAAGGGCTAATCCATTAACATTAAACACAATCAGATGAGGACACTCTGTATATATGTTTGATTTGTGTGTGTGAATATATAGTTGATTTGACATCGATTTAAACAAGATTGTATGAGGAAAACAATCTTGGTGATTAAAATCATCTAAATCATGTTATATCTAAGGTAGAAAAAGAATTGACTAATTAATTGGGTTCATATAAAATTGGAGACAGAATTGATCACATAAGAGAGAGAGAAGATGATGAGAAAGAGAGAAAAAGAAAGAGGTTATTGGAGTATAAGTAAAGAGCATCTCCATGGAAGAGAAAAATAAACTCCATAGATGAGACTTATTACCAAAATATAGTGAATAAAATCTTACTAAGGATCAATTGGAATTGGAATAAATTGAAAGAATAGTAATCAATATATTTTCTGGAAAAACTGAACAATTATCGTTTTGTTTAGAGGTAAAACAAGGGTTAGAAACAAAAAGAACCATAAACATGGAGACAGAAAAAGAGAAGAAAAAAAAAGAGAATAGAATTTCCCTCGCATTCTCTTTGTAGAAGGAAAATAAAGAGAATACATTGTTGTTCCATGTAGAGAATAAAATAGAAAAGAACACAATTCATGACGAGTCTTTCTCTTTCTCTCTCTCTCATCGTATATCGATTGAAGAATATGCACACAAAAGAGATGAGTGAGAGAGAGAGAGAGACATTAATAAATCTATGGAATAAGTTGATTAGAGAATAAAATTCACCATGAAAAAAAAAGAAACACAATCAACATCAAGGAAAGAAAAAGAATTTTTTTTTAAATCTTACCTGAAGTAAAAGCAGTTAGACTGATGATTATTAAAGCAATACAATTGAGAGAATTCATCTTAGATTATATAAATTATATAATATTATGTATTCGAAAATTGTTGAAGAGAATCGGTTAATGATGTAATTGAGTTGATGTATTAGGTGAGATTGAGATGGTAAAAGATAAACAAATAAAACTAAAGGTATTCACAAATCATATACACGGAATGTCAGTTGGATTGGAAGAGGTTTTCAAATGTTGTAAAGAAGCTGGAGAGACTAATGGTTAACATACAGTGTGGATCGCAAGAGAATGAGAGAGAAGGAGAAGTAAAATGAAATGAGAATTGAAGAGAGTGCGTTGAGAAGAAAGAAGAGAGAGAGAAATAAAAGGTAAGAGAAAGAAAGAAAGAAAACGGTTTTGGGCGCGGTTTCTCAAAAGAGAATAGAACATCAAATGAGCGAAAAAAGAAAACAAAATGAGAGAAGGAGAAGAAAAAAGTAAACAAACGTTCGGGTTACCGGTTGCAAATCGAATGTCAAAGGTAAGAGAATCACAGAGATTCACCTGATTACCTGAGTTTTTCTTTTCCTTTCGAGATTCTGATTGTTGATTTGGTCATTTTTCTCACAATTTTTGTTCATTTCGAATGTTTTTCTCTCTGTTTATCTTTTTTTCTTTTTCTTTTTTTTCTAAATTGTGTTTGTGTTTTTCTTTTTCTACAATTTATTCGTTGATTGTTGTGATATTTTGGTCTATTAATTTAAATTTTGTTCTCTCTCTTTGATTATTATGATTAACTTGGTGAACACGCAACTTGGAACAATCAATTTGGTCTCTTTTTTTAAATTGGTTAACCTAATGATGTCGTTTTAATGGAGATTTTTTTTTTTCAATTTTCTTTTTTTTTCTTTTTCTTTGTTTATTATGGTTTGTTCCCCCTCTTAATTATGGTGGTTTTCTTTCAACAGGAAACTGTTGATCGAGTTAATTGTTAACAATTTATTTATGTGTTGCTGGTAATTTGGTTCTTTCCATGGTCGTAATCAGGAAATCTCATTTTCGCTTCCGTAAAACTTTGGTCACAATTGTTGCTCTTCAATGTTTCGTTGGTTTCTAGACTTATTTGTATATTTTCAAGATGAATTTGTTGACATTTGAATTAATTGTTCACTTGTTTGGGTTAATTAATCATCTATTAACCAATTAGATTGGATTGTCAACCCTTTTCCATTGGAAATGTCTCCTGATTGTGTTGACAATTGTCACATCTCGTGATCTAAATTCATCTCAGGTAGATTATCATTTTAATGTATCCGAGATAAGGTAAAGTTATAATTTACACAACAACAATTTGAGAAAAATAATCAATATAATCAATTTATTATCATTATTGCAGGTTAATTGTTTATATCCATGAGGGAAACCTAAACAAAATGAATTGTATATCATTCATCAAGCTTTCATATTATAAACAATATTCAATGGAATTTAACAAAACGTCAAAAAAATATTAATCAACTATCGATTAATTTTCTCAATTAAATTGATTGTATTAAACATCTCGATAGAAGACGTTTAATTAGTAATTAATAATTTTCCTTTGAGTCACATCAATTAAAATCCATATCTGATTGATTGGATAACTTGGAAAACTGCTGATCCACAGACTACGAAAATAAACAGAGCCAATAACCAAGGTCCAACTGGATATTTATCATCTGATGCTTTCTGTAAATAGAAGTAGATCAAAAAACAACATTTAAATTAGAACAATTAACCAAACAATTAGCAAAAAAAAAACTCATCAACTGTAAGATTGAAAATAAGGTCTTCAGGTTCAATGCACTTAAAGAAACCTAAATATACAATAACTGTTAACGTGTAAACTTCAAATTGCTGAGAATTGCGATTTGATTGAAAGGGTTGATTTGTGACAATGGAACAAAAAAATCGCAATTTAAATAATCAACAGAGAATTAATTTCGTTAAAATATTCTCTTTAGAGAAAAAATGAAACACAAATAGAAAAAGAATAACAAAAATATAGAGAAAAGAATATTACAACACAAGAGAATAAAATGATTCTCTGGAAAAGAGAAAATCAACTGATCGTCTATTGGATTAAATTATTAATTGTTCTTGTCACAGGAAAAGGAAGATAAAATGGAAGATGGAATTAGTTAAACAGAATAGAAATTAATTGTAATTAATTAAATACTTACACCGGCTTTGGGTACGTTTCCTCTGAGAGTTACATTTTTGGAAGCCTTTTCATTGGCAATTTTCATCCGTTGAGTTTTAACCATTTTAATTTAAATTGTTTTAACAGTTTACCAACCAAATTAACACCAATTAAAACACTATGAGAGACTAATTGTTAACAATTAATTGTCAATCCGATGATTAGTGGAAAGTAAATGATCACCAAATGATTAAATGGGTTACCTGTTTTCAAATTTTCTATTGAAAACATGACACGTTTGAGATTCTAAATGGAGAAAATGTAGACAGAGAAATAGACAGAGAAAGCGAAAGAGAAGAAAAATAAGAAGAAAGAGAAAAGACAGGAAAGAAAGAGAAACCTGTTAACTAATCATCGTTTCCATTTAATTGTGAGGTGAGAGAGAGAGAGAGGAATACAAATCAAGATTAATTTGTTACGTATTCATCGTCACATGTAATCTGTTTGCTAATTAACTGAATAACAATTTGATTATTACAATTGAACAGATGATAATCAACAATTTAGAAAAACAAAAATTAAAAACATTGGAAAGTTAATCAAGGTTAATTAAAGAGCAATAACAACTTGTGATTCTATTGCTGATTAATCATTAATCATCTGGATTCTCGAAAATGTAACATTAAATTATTGTAACAATTTAAATCTTTCTATTAATTGGAGATGTGAACAATCAAAATGAAAAACTTTTCCAATGGAAAAAAACATCAATAAAACTATTATTTTTCTCTGAATTTCTTATTGGATTTAATTCTTTGCTCTTTCTGTTTTCATTGGGAGATTAATTTTCAATTAGACTGTTAATTAAATCAAGAAATTTAGACGAAAATTAAATTAATTTAATTAATTTAATTGCGAACGTTTTCTAGCGCCATCTGTGAGTAGATTGGACAACCTGCTCGATTTTAGAACTTTTATCCACCGATAGATGGCGAGATCATCAATTGTTCGAAATTGAATTTAGTTAATTAAAATGAACAATTAACTTTGATAGTAAAAGTTAATTTGTCCATGATTAGGATTTTTATGGTCAAGTTTTAGATAAGTTTAAACTCGTGAAAAAGTTAGTGAGAAATTTGTAGCTAATGTTTAGTTGGAAAAGTTTTTTTTTATTCTCTTTATGGTTTTTTTTCTTAATTAAGTTAATTGTTGTTGTTGTGAATCTAATTAGTAGTTATTATTATGAGAGAATAGTTAATGAGAGATTTAAGGTAATGGAGAAGAGAACAAAAAAGTAAGATAAGAAAATGATATAAAGAGATTGTTCGAAATGATTGAGAAAATTTAAAATTCTCAAGAGGAATTGTTATAATATGGAATCAGATTTAACAAGGAAAGGGAATGAATAAATAATGATGATGAAGATGATAAAAGAGAGAGAGGGAGGGAGGGAGGGAGAGAGAGAGAGAGATGATAATTCTGGTGAATATCCATACGCATGGTCGATATTAAAGTTCCCTGGATTTGGAATTGCAACTGAAAACGATCTGAGATGATTATCGATATTGAATCGATTTTTATTCAAAAAGTTCTGAAAGTTCATCTAATCGATGAATAAAGAAAGAGAAAAAGGAGAGTGAACAGTTCGATCGTAATCGAAATTCTAAAAAATCGAATTCGAAATCATTCCAAACGATTCTTATATCGAACAGAATTCAGGAAGATGATGAACCTTTAACTCTCTCTTTCTACAGAATTTTCCATGTATTCTTTTATCATCTTATTCTATCTTCTCTTCCCTGTGATATCTTCTTTCTAATTCTTCTGTCTATCAGATTTTCTCTTCTCTTTCTACAAATTCTCATATTCTCTCTCATTCTCTCTAACACTCTCTCTTGGAATATTTTCTTCTATTCCAAATGGGAATGGAGGTGAAAAGAAGAAGAAGATTATGATGAAGAGAATGATGATATTGTGAAGAAAGAGCAAAGAAAGAGAAGATAAAAACAAGAGAGAGAGAGAGGGAGAGTGAGAGAGAAGAAAAAAAAATTACTGTTTTCGTTTTTCTCTATTGTTATTAATCTAATTGTGTTTTCGTTGTTGTGTGTTAGTGTTTTTTAGTTTTTCTCTTCTGTTATTTATTTAATTTAGTTTAATTGTCTATAATTAATCAACAGAGAAGTAAGAAAAAGAAGAAGATCAATTAATTAATTGTGTGTTTCCAACAATCAACCAACTGAAAGAAATTAAATCAATTGTGTTAACCGAAACAGCAACAAAACATCAACAACGACGAGTTAAAGTGTTAATTGTTTCCAATCTCTTTAAATCATCTTAAAATCAACCAATTAGTAAATTCTCACCAATAATAACCTGAAATCCTCCCCGAGAATCAACTTAATCACAATTAATTAATTCCATTTCCATATCATCCAGAATCTCTGGTCAAAAAGCCACAATCAGATTCTCATTCATCTCTATTGGTTTAATTATCTTTTCCTCCTTCTCCTCATCCTTTATCGTTAATTGCTGTTGATTTATTCGCTTAATTATCTCCTGTTAATCTTCTTAATCATCATCATCATCATCATCATAATTCTCTCTTAATTAATAAATTCTAAAATCGATTGCAAACTCCATTCGAAACGGAACCGGAACCGATAAATTTTCGCTTCTTTTTTTTCTTCCTCTTCTTCAGTATATTTGTTTTCTATTCTTCATGTTTCAATTTCTATCATCATCATCATCATCCATTTATCATCATCACCATCGCACCAATTTAATTCTGATTATCTCAAATATCCATATGATTAACTGATTTAATCCTATTCTGTTAATTTTTTTCTCATATAATATATTTATCAACCTAAACCCTCAGAGAAACTGGAAACCTAAACATCAGATTAATCAATAATTTGTAGCTGATTGTGAGTTTATCATGGATTAAATAATGATACTACAATTAATCAACATTCATCATCATCATTAACAATTGATATTAATCAATAGGAAACATCGAGCTTGCAGAAAACAACAATAAAGGTAAACAGATATAACCAAAGAAGCTCAAGTATATTTATTAATCTCTAATCCCTGTAAACAACAATGTGATGGTTGAAAAGATAATCTCATCGGTGTAATATTTTTAATCTACTTTATTTGGATAAAGGTAAAACTCTGTGGATGTCGCCATCATCATCTTCATCATCCTCATCTTCATCTTCATCTTCATCATTATCACCATTTTCACCCAGTTCATTTTTTAGTGTTGAATTGTAGAGTTGACAATTAGTTGTGTTTTTAACTAATTAGTCTTGTTAAATCATTTTCTATTTTCATTTAATTTATTATCCAGCTTAATTTCACTTGTCACAATTAGAAGGGCAAATAAATAACATGTTAACAATTAGTAAATCATCGCAATTCACCACTAAAGGTGAAAGATTATCAACCGGAAAACCGGTGAAAACCAGGACAAAATTAATCAATTGCACAGTTTTACCAGCTGATTGTAAGAAGATAATTATTCAATCGCAAAGGGAAACAATTAACAATCAACAAGATGATTCGATTATAAATAAACAGCATTTCTCTCACTTTTGTCTAATCGGTTCAACAATTAAATCAATCATTGTCTTTTTGGTAAAAACCTTTTGGATCCATTGGATTATCCCAATTGTGGTAATCCTTTTATTTCAATCTTCGAGGTATAATTTTTCCTCCGCCTTACCTCATGATGATAATCTCTTTTATGCCGATTCATCATTCCCCTCATCATCATCATCATCTTCATCATCTTCATCTTCATCATCGTCGTTTTCAAGTTATAATCAAATTCATTATTCAGCATATCAAAATGATCCCTTAATTGTGTTAACCAACAAAGGTTATGTTCGTGGTCGTTCAGTCACCTCGCCCACAGGTAAACCAGTCGATGCTTTCTTAGGTATTCGTTATGCAAAACCACCCACCGGCCGATTCCGTTTCCGTCACCCTAAGCCAGTCGACTCTTGGGAGGGTATTTTTAATGCAACCTCATTTTCGGGTGCATGTTTCCAGGTAAATGACACCTTTTTTGGTAACTTTAAAGGTGCCACCGAATGGAATCCAAATGTACCTTTAGATGAAGATTGTCTTTCTGTTAATATTTGGGTACCACGTCCTAGACCCAAATCAGCGGCAGTTTTACTTTGGATCTATGGAGGTGGCTTTTGGTCGGGAACCTCATCCCTTGACTTTTACGATGGATCCGTCCTGGCAGGGGAAGAGTCAATTATATTTGTCTCAATTAATTATCGAGTTGCCTCCCTTGGATTCATCTTTTTTGACACCTCTGATGCACCCGGTAACGCGGGTCTTTTTGATCAGCTAATGGCAATGGAATGGATTCGAGATAATATCGCCGCTTTCGGTGGTAATCCGGCAAATATAACGATCTTCGGTGAATCAGCTGGAGCCGTTTCAGTTGCCCTTCATTTACTTTCCCCGCTCTCACGTAACGTTTTCAGCCAAGCAATATTACAATCTGGTTCGGCCACTTGCCCTTGGGCAATTGTTGATCGTAACAAAGCTTATGCACGAAGCCTCGCCTTGGCCCGTTCGGTTGGATGTGATTCACACACCACACGAAAAGACCTAAAGTCAATCATTGAGTGTATGCAATCTATACCCGCCTCTGTATTGGTTGCAAAAGAAGAGGTGACCACCGGTGTGGTTGATTTTGCCTTTATTCCGATAGTTGATGGTTCATTTCTCGATGAGGATCCAGAGATTTCATTGAGAACCAAGAATTTCAAGCACACCGCCATCTTGACAGGTTCCAATCGAGATGAGGGAACTTATTACCTAGTCTATCATTCACCTCACATATTTAACCTCTCGGAGAGTGTTTATGTTTCCCGAGCTGAATTTCAATCTCTCATACGAACAATTTATCCTCATCTTTCCCCTCTGGCTCAAGAATCAATCATCTATGAGTATACACATTGGGTTAATCCTGATGATCAGATTGAAAATCGTGAAGCAACCGATAAGTTTGTCGGTGATTATCAATTCACTTGTCCAGTTAACGAGATGTCCTATCGATACGCTTTATCGGGTAACGATGTTTGGTCTTATTATTTTAATCATCGATCATCTAAAAGCTTTTGGCCTTCATGGATGGGGGTAATTCACGGAGAGGAGATCAAATTTGTCCTTGGTGAACCTTTAGATCCAGTTCATGGCTATACTCAGGCGGAAGTTCAGTTAAGCAGGCGAATCATGAGATATTGGGCTAACTTTGCGAAAACAGGGTAAGTAATAATACAAGAATGATCGTAATTCATTACGAAAATTGGTTAATTGTTACGAATTAAATTGATCTTCAGGAATCCCAATCGACAGTCTATCGAAAGTGACGCTACGGAGAGTATAGTGTGGCCTGAGTATACCGCTCATGAGAAAGAGTATCTGGTCATTTCGACCAACGATTCATCAATCGGACGAGGTCTTCGGGCAAAACAATGTGCCTTTTGGAAAAACTTTTTACCCCAACTAATCAACGCTCTAGGTGAGTAACAATTAGATTTAATTGTAACGATAAACTTGATTCATTTTCTAATCAAAGGCAAACACAATTGCAATTACAATTTCTTTTGGAAAAAGACAAAAAGTTGATTACTCTTTGTTTCACTTCATTGATTAATTTTCTCACTTAATTGTGTTATTGATTTTTCACTACAATCTAGAGGTGAGGGAAAGAAGAAAAAAAAAGTTAATTATAACAATTAACTTCTTAATAAAAAGTAATTACAATTTATGAATTATTAATCAAACGCGAAACATTTAATTCATGTTCATTTAAATTGATGCCAGTCAAAAACTTATCATTAGTTAATTTTAAATGAACATTAATTTTGATATACAATTGATTGTGTTTAAGTTGAATGAATTATTTTCTCAACTATTAATAATTAATTGGACAATTGGACAATTAAAAATAATGATAGAACCGCAATAACAATAGATACTAATAGTAGTAAATTGTCATAAACAATTGGTAATGGTCAACATTTAATAAGCAAATATATTAGCCAATCGTTTGTTCAAATATAATGTTGCATTAAAATGATTGTGATCTTGGTGATTATCATCATGTAAATGAATCTGTATTCTGAACTGAATTGTTATCTTTGCAAGAAACTTTATCCCGATATTGCAACTAAACTTATCTGATTAAAACTTAAGCATCTCTATTACAAGTTCACACTTTGATGATAATGATGCGGATGATTATTTTTATCTTCATCTTGTTCATCCTTCCAGAATAAAATGACAATCTCAATGTTGATCATGAATCTGAACAATTCTCATCTTTATCTCCATCGTCTGGTCAAAACTAATGACACTTTCATTGCCTCATGAGATTCACCCTATAAAATGGTCAATCTCAAAGTTCTGGTCAGTTTTTCAAAATGTCCAGTTATCCCAATCCCTTTTTTAGACCCTTATCATCATCCTCATCATCCTCATCATCATCCTCATCCTCATCCTCATCCTCATCATCATTAACTGACAATAAAAACAATTTAGATTGGATAAGTTTTCACTCCAAGAATCTCAATCCCTTGGAATACATTTAACAACCTATCCAATCAACAAATTGTTACAATTAACAGTTTCCCAATTTACTATCAAATTGCTAATATAACAATCTAATTAATTTCTGGATTAGATTCTAATATTTTGTTAAGTATCATTTTCCATAATTAACAATTAGCAATAGAAACTTAATTAACCTCTCGTTCATTTTTTTTCTCTCTCTCTCTTTCATCCTTGTGATTAAATCAAACGTGAGTTTCACTTAACAATTAAGGATTTTGGCTGATTGTTTTTTCATCATTTTCCTTTCCCTTAATTATCATAATCAGATTACTTTATTTTCAATTGTTAAATTAATCTTTTCATATCGGATTAGTTAAGTTTCAATGATCAATAATATTTTCATTAATATCTAATTACAACAATTGAATGTTGCATCAATAATTTTAATCCTCACACAATTATTGTTACAATTTACTAATCAACGTAATTAATTTTCATTGTTAATAATATCATTGGTTGATTATAATTGACAAAGATTGATAAGTAATCAATAAATTTGTCGATATGTTAATTCAATCATGATTATTGATTATTGGTAAATTGTATCAATTGTATTGATTTTCCTGTTTCCATCATCATTAAGTTAATCAATTTATCAATTTGTAATTTTTGCCAATCATAAATAATAATCAGACATAAATGTTTACAATTAACAAATCAAATTGAATTACATTTTCAAGTTTATCAAGATCATTAATCATTGAGGATAATTTGTTTTCTGTAACATTCAACCAAACTACAATTTAAATCATCAATCAATGATCACAATGATTTAGTTAATTGTCTTTGTTGAAAGTAACTTTTTTTTTGAAAAAAAAAATCATTAACATGCTAAAGAAAATGTTTCCAATCAATAATGTTAATCAAATTGGATGACAAACTAAATTTAAATAATCATCCAAAAGTAGACAATTATAATTTGCCTGAGGGCATATTGATTGTCATGATAACGATTATGATAAAGATGAAAAATGATGATAAGTTATTATATTGATCTGATGCTGAATGATGATGATGATTATTTTCATCCATGAATTCAATTTATATTTACCTCTGAATCTTGAATTGAGATTTGAACTGAATGAATTTCAGATTATTGAACATTATCATTAGACTCTAATCGTCAATCATGAAAAATTGAAATTCTCATGAAAATTTACAGAAATAGAGAGATAACCAATGAGGGTAAACTGAGGATTGCAAAGTATATCACCAGAATATAATATATTTGATGTAACAATAAATAAAATATTATTTTAGATAATCTTATGAATCAGTTACTTAAGAATTGGTTCATGTTCATCTTCATGAACCAATCATGATCATGATGATAAAGATGATACTACTTATTGAACTTTATTTTTCTTGTTATATCACATAACCGAAAATACAATAAGAAAAAAAAACCTCAAGAATCAGAAAAAAATAACTGTAAAGATGAAACTACAAACGATTCAGAAGATGATCATCAGTCTCTCTCTCTCTCTCTCTTTCTTTCTCTCTTTCTCCTTTTGTTCTTTATCTTCATCATCATTTTTATCATCATCTCTTATTCGTGCTACGAATCCCAGAAGAAAGAATCCAAATAGAGAATGGAAAAAATCATCATCGTCATTCGACCTGCGATCGATTTTACCTCAGGTCCTTATCTTCACCATCTTACCTTATTTATCTTATTTATCATCCTCCTTCCACTCATCTTCTTACTTATCATCATCATCATCATCATCATCATCATCATCTACATCTGATCTGGATGAATGTCACACAAGAAGATGAATAGACAAGTTGAAGAAGATGAAAAAGAAGAGCAAAAAAAAAGATATATGTATTATTTAGATATAAATTATATCTACACAGACTTTCAGATTCTTTGGTGTTTTCACCCTTGAGATGAGGATTAGGATGAGGATGAGAGTGGGAGTGGGTGAAAGAGGAGGAGAGGAAGTGGAAGATGAGCAAAATAATATGAGATCAGCATCATTTATAATTGTAACTTTATTTTCACCTCTGCAATAATAACATATTAAAGTGTCTTAATACTTATTATTAGAACCGTTATTTTGATGATGTTGATGTTATCCAATTGTTATTGTTGATCATCATTCACCATTTGAAAGCTTTTCAAGATTGATTACAATTATTACGATTGTCAATTATTCACCAATGAAAAATAATAATGATAATCGTAGAAACTGAATTGATGATTTGGAAAATTGTGAATATAATTGAATATACAATTTAATCCAATAATCTGTGTTTATATATAATAGTTTTGTGTCTGTTCATTTTGTCAGTTATCAGAATTAAATTACGATTTAGTGATAAATTGTTTCTAATCAAGTAAATCTGACAATTTATTATGTCAATCATTTTGTACTACTAACACAAATCCATCAACAATTGATAATAAATTGTGATGATGATCAAATGTTGATTTGATTCGAGTTGAAATTAAACAATTTGTTTCAAATTTGGTTTAACAAGGTAACCAAAAAGTAAATCGAGAATCCCAGAATTATCTTGAGAAAGAAAGAGAGAAAGAAAGAGAGAAATGAAATAATCGATAAATTCAATTCGAGAAGTAGAAAGAAGATGAAAAAAAAAGTTCTAATATCATTGGAGTGAGAGAGAGAGAAAGAGGAAGAGAAAGTTTTTTTTTCTTCCATAGGTAAACATGAAAGGCAAATGAAACTACATGAAGAGCAAAATTTCAACAATCATCAAGAATCTGATTTTTTCCTCCTTGTTCACCTTACAATTTATTCATTCATGATAATATATTTATGTTTAAATTATAAATCAATTTTAATGATGATGATAAAAATAATAACTTATTTTCGTGTGCTCCAGGTATTTTCAAGAGGAGCGATGAGATTTATGGTGAGATTTGAAGATGATGATGATGAGGATGGAGAAATAATTATATCCTGAGTAATCATCTTGCTCCTCATCCTTGAAATTGAATCGATGTACATGTAAAATGTTGTTGAATGTTGATTGTATTAAATCAGTTACGATATTCAAAGTTATTCAATTCATATTCATATTATCAACATTTACGATTATCATCTTCACTTTACCTGAACTTTTTGAATACACAACAAGATTGAAGTTTAAATAAATTATCATGAACCAAATTCATCTATTTGATTAGTCAGCGATTTTGTTTCTCACAATCTCTTTATTTCAACTCAGATTTCAATCAATCGGAATATAATCATGATAATTAGCATCATGATTATCATCACAATCTCTTTGGTTTATTTCAAACTCGCTTTTGTTTATCTTATTTTGTTTTCTTCGGATTTTCAATCATCAGCAAATCTTTTCATTCACAATTTGCAATTATAATTGTGATTATTTGCTTTTATCGTCTTATTATTATTATAGACTTGGTTTGTTTCTCAATCCAGTTCAGTTTAATTGTCGTTTGTCAATTTAATTGTTGTCAATTTGTTGGTATTTCTTTTCTAATTGTCAAGGTTTCCATGTGATTGATGTTAAACACTTTACCAAATCTTTTTTATTTCTTTAATTCTGTTGACAGTTAATCACAATTTCTTGTTAAAACTTTTTTCTCCAAATTATTGACATTACATCATCTCCATCCTCATCCTTATCTCCATCCTCATCCTTATCTCCATCCTCATCCTCATCCTCATCCTCATCCTCATCATTATATTTTCATCTTCATTCAATTTGATTGATTTAGATGACAAACTTTTTTATATCAACATTTTTCTGGTAAAATTATTATCCTTTTAATTGTTTGAATACTTATCAAGTCACAATCAATTTGAATTAACTGATAGTTTTAATTGTCAAGGATTAATCATGTTATCATATTAATCGTTACCATTTGCAAACAATTGTTTTTAATTGTGTAAACATTTTTATTGGAAAAACTTTCCTCACTTTTGTTTATCGTTGATGATTTAATGTATTGGAACAATCAATCAACTTAACCAATTGAAATTGTAATTTAAATTGTTTCTCCTTAGTTTCTCATCAACATTTAACCATAATAATTTAACTTAATCAAGTCAATTGATTGTGTAAACATTTGATTCAGTGTTTACTTAAATTAACATTCATTTCAATTTAAGTTTAAATTCAATCCAATATTATAATAGTTGTGATAATATTAAAGTTTATCATGATTAGTTTATTTAATTGTTTACCAAACTAATTGTTTATCTCTCTTTTTTTTTACTTGATTAATTAATTGTATATTCAGAAAACCGTCATAACTCAACTTGTATCAATAAATCAAATCAATTGGAATCAACAATTTGGAGCCTTGTCACTTCAATGGTAACAATTATACTAATTTGGTTCCCAATGAGATAATCATCAAGCTGATTAATTAAAACTCAATGAGATGAACATCTAAATCAAAGATGACCATTTGATAGCAAATCAATACATGAAAAATGGAGGAAAACAAAATTAATAATCACAATTAACTCTCATTTTAGTGCCTAGCATAATAATAATCATAACAATTAACAGGATTTAACGAAGATCATCATCATCGAGAGAGAATTGAAATTATTTCCACAATTTAATTGTCAAATAACAGAATTGTTACCAATGAATTAATCAAATCATCACCACCGCTCTTAATATTATCACAATTACCAATATATAATCAACATATCGATTGAAAATCTCATCATGGAAATGATAAATTCTGGTCCATTGGTAACGATAATTGAACTGAAAAAAAATGCAATTACTTGATTATGGAAACAAAATTAACCTGATATCGTATATTAATATCATTTACCTTGTTATATATATGGTACACAAGGTGTACCATTATTACATTAATATAATTGGAACCATAGGATTATCTTGATCATCTCTGATTATCCTCATCTTTTCATCCCCTGGATGGATAATATCAACTCAAGGAATCACCTGAAGACCAAAGGATAAATTATTAATATTAAAGAATCATCAATATCCACGGGAGCACAATTATATATCTCTCTCACTCTCACTCTCTCTCTCTCTTATAAATAGTAATAATAATAACGAAACCAAAGGTTGTGTCGCATCTTCATCATCCTAATCATTATCATCTCTCATCATCATCATCATCATCGCAAGGATATTAAGGAAACTTCACCAATATCAGATTCTAAGGATAAACTCATAGAAAGGATAATATCGTGATCTTTTTTTTCATTTTTTCTTCTTCGTCAACAATTAACTTTAATTATATTCTCATCGTCTCTTAATCATCATTCTGATAATATTATGATAAATTGAACGTTTCGCCTTCCCTGTCCATTTATCAACATCTTCATCATCGTTGTCAATACAAATTAACAATTAATTTGTTAATCATGTTCAATTTAACTGGAAAAACAAAAACAAAGGTTGTGTTATCGTCGCTTATAAATATATACATAATAATTAACTCAACAATTAACTTTTACCTAATCAACTGATCAACAAATCAAATTGGAAATCTTTTTAATTGTTTATCCTCAAATCCCTTCTTATTTCATTAATCCAATCTAATTTAATTACCACCATTGAGTTAACCAACAATACCTCAAATTAGGATTTTTGTTTTAATTTCAATTTCTTGATTTGATTCAGTGATTATTTTGGTGTTAATTGTTGATTTAATTTATCTTAGACTAAACCAGTAACTCAATTGAGCTTAAAGTCATCAAAATCTTAAACCAATGATACATTTCAATTGTAATTAAGTTAATCAACAAAAAAAACACTCTAGTTAATTTAACCGTAACCATTGCAATAATTATAATGCTTATAAATATGAAAACAATTAATTACAATTAGTTAGTTAAATGGTTGTAATGATTAAAATTAACATTGAAATTTATGGTTGTGACCATTTCCTTCCAGAACCTTAATTAACAATTAACTCTCTCACTCACTCACTAATTGACTCACATAAAATGAAATACCAACACAATTAACAATTAAATTCACTTGATTAACCAACAATCAATTACAAATAAAAGCAAACAACAAATTCACAATTAACATGAATGAACTTGATTAAAGTTGAATGAGGCAAAAAAAAGCAAAACAAATGTTAATCAATTAGAAATGTTTTCGTATCCAAATGGATTGTAAAATCTAATCAATTGTAATCGTAAACTATTGGACAATTATTAATAATTTATTGATCCAGTTAAATGTTAACAAAAATTTTGATTGAAGAAAATGAATGAATTTGAATTTATCAACAATTTAAATCAATTTTATTGTAAAAAAAAGCAAATCAAATCAATGGGATCACTGATTTAGTGAATTGATGGTTGTGTTCATCTTTACATCATAACATTACATTGTATTATTATATGAAAACAATTAATTCGTTAATTATTATTATCTTTTTCTCTGTGATCTTATTTCCGGTTTATCGAAGGATTTTCAATCAGAGCCTCTTAAATACTCATGAATAGAGGAAGTTGTTGAGAATTCTGAAAGAGGGGCTAATCTACGATTTATTGATGTTCCACTACATTAAATAGAATTTGAGATTCTCTTTTAAAATCACAATTAAAAAGTTCCAATTGCGAAAATGAAACTTTGTTAATTTTTCGAACAATTAACGTTTTGATGCGCCATCTGGTGGATTCTTTTGTAACTTTTCTAGATGAAGATGTTCAATCGGATTTTTTATTTCAGCTCTTCGACTTTTATTAATTAAACAATTAATAGATTAAGTTGATTAATTGTTTTACAAACCGATTACCAGGATTGTTCATCTCTTTCTCATTTAAGTTGAAAATCGTTGATGACTGTGGTCACAATTTGGTTTCCTTTGAAGCTCAGTACAAAAAATGGACTTGGTCATCTTGAGATTTGAATTGAAAACTTTTTTCACTCTCCAAATGAGGACTCGCAATTAATACTAATTACAAATTACAAAGGTGCAATCGTTTTAATCAATTGGTTAACTTGAAAACTATTTTTGTAACTAAACAATTAGTTGAGTGCCCATGGCGGCACCTCGGTGGTTTGTCGTGTCTCAACCATTCACCAGGTGGAGTTTCAATAAATCAATTGACTGTTTTGTTTACATTTTTGTTTTTCATTTCTTTTGATAACCTGTTTCATTTGCTGAAAATGTCAAAAAAAAGTGTGGTGGTCCTAATAAATTTACTATGGATAATAAATCTGTCATTGCTTTTCGCCAATAAGTTGAATATCCTCTCATATTGATCAACGATGCATGTAATCTTGGTTTTAATAGATTCGTTTTTTCATCATTCACTAATTTACTTAAAACGGTTGATTCGGATAATGATTTGGCATTTTCATATGTTACTAAGGAATAATATATGTATTCTTTTATTTTTGAATGTTCTGAAAAATTGTTCCAGATACGTGATTTGAAGTAAGCAGCTATTTCTAATGCTTTTTTGCTTCTATCATTTGAATGATGAATATTGGTCAATTTGGCATCTATAGAGCTAAATCCAGCTGTTCCATATGGATATAATTGTGGGAATGCTAATTCTTCATAATCAATTGCATCGTATGTTTTCAGGGGTGGTATTTTTGCTCTATCTAGTAATATTATTTTTGTGTCTTTACATTTATCAACGATCTCTTGTACTGTGAATTGTGTTGGGTTTTCTCCTAATATCAATGTATCCTCCAAGTTGTGCTCTTCAAAAGAATTTTTAAAAGTTTCTGTTTGTATGATTGTTTCAATTTGATAGCAATAAATGTCTACTGTGTTGGAATTTTTAAGATTCGTGGTTTTAGTAATGAATTCTAAAGTTTCTGATATATTGGTAAATTCAAAAATAGCAGCCTTACCATTTGTACTCGAAGTTTTTCGGCCAGTTGGTAACCAACCATCGATATTCATAATATAATAATGTTCATTTATACATATGTAGCTTAAATAAATTGAATTTATTTGTACAAATGTTAAATGTTTTATTGTAGATAGAATTTCATATAAAGTATTGATTGTGTCTTGTTTTTTTTTCTGAAAATAATATCTATCCTTCAATGTAATTTTATAAGAATTATTTGATAAATGAATTATAAATGGTTCATTTTGAATTGTTAAGCCATTTAAATCAATTCTAATTTGACTTGCGGCTATGATAGCATAATCATAAAGATCTGGAGTCCATTCAGCTAAATTCGTTATTTGAATAATAATCAGCGTTGAAAAATGTGTCAATAAAGCTATATTGATCTTTAAGTCATTCAAGATGAGAGTTGATTTACTATTTAAAGTTTTAGCTAATAATATTTTATAAGGTTTTTTGATAACTGGAATATATTTTTCAACGAGTATAATTTTGATATTTTGTAGTTTAGTTATATCATTCGTGGAAAGTTTATGTATTGTTACATCATTTTTATAATGTTCATTATGTTTTTGCAACCATTGGAGTGCATTGTTTATTTTCTCTGGACGAACTAAGAAATCTTTTCGTTTTGAATTTTCATATATAGATTTATCGGCTAAGAAAACTGTTTCGGTGTCACTTAATGATTTGGGTAATATTTGTTTTATTTCATCAATGTCTTGAGGAATAAAAAATATTTCACCTTTAAATTCTGTTTGATAATAAAATGGGTTAGTTTTGACTATATTTACGAATGGTTCAACTCTTCTAATTGTTTTCAATTCGAAATATGTTAATGATTCTAATTCTTCAGGTATTTTATCACAAAATAGACCATTGAAAACTGTATTTTGACATAATTTACGTTTTCTTTTAAATTTGTCTTTACAACTTGTACAAGTTTTTATCTTCATGTTTAATTGGAAATTTTTTTCTATATAATTTTGAATCATTGATCGGTGATGATTGAAAGGATAAACAGAAACATAATTATTTATTATATCTAATAAATCTTGGCTTACCTGTAATTCAAAACTATTGAGGATAAATAGTGATTTGTAACAAAGGAAGCAAAACGTTGGTTTCATTTGTGTTTTGAGTTTTGTATTGAATCTTTCTATTGCCGATATCTAATAAAATGAAAGAGTAAAGAAATTTTAGAATGTTGAATTATATATGTAAGGATTGAGAAGAATAGTCGATGTTAAACGTTAATATTCATTTTTGAATATTAATGTAAATTACCTATTGGGTTTTGATATTTGACAATAAACGTTAATATTCACTTTTGAATATTAATGTAAATTACCCATTGGTTTTGAAATCTGATGTTAAACGTTAATATTCATTTTTGAATATTAATGTAAGTTACCTATTGGTTTGGGTATTGGAATTTAACACTAATATTCATTTTTGAATATTAATTGTAGATGTAATTATCGAGAAAGAGAGAGAGAAGGAGTCTAAATCTTGAATTTTTCTCTGGTAATATTCCAATTATCTTATAATATTGTAAATCAAAAAAAGGAATGGGATATAATTTTAGGTTCTAACAAAAATTGAATGAAGGTTGAAGAATCCAAAATTATATCCCATTCCTTTTTTTGATTTACAATATTATAAGATAATTAATTGGAATATTACCAGAGAAAGATTCAAGATTTAGACTCCTTCTCTCTCTCTTTCTCGATAATTACATCTACAATTAATATTCAAAAGTGAATATTAGTGTTAAATTCCAATATCCAAACCAATAGGTAACTTACATTAATATTCAAAAATGAATATTAACGTTTAACATCAGATTTCAAAACCAATGGGTAATTTACATTAATATTCAAAAGTGAATATTAACGTTTATTGTCAAATATCAAAACCCAATAGGTAATTTACATTAATATTCAAAAATGAATATTAACGTTTAACATCGACTATTCTTCTCAATCCTTACATATATTAAATATTTGTTTTAGATAGCAATCAATAATCAACATTATAGTATCTTTTGATAATCATCGATAAATTTTTGTTATTATCAAATATTTAAACTTATGTTCTTAACTTACCATTTTGTTGTATTTGATTGTTAGACCAATTTATAATTATAATTGTTATAATTGTTTTAAGTATTGATACCTATTAGAATAGATGTTAGACTGTTATTAATTGTTACATTATTTAAATTGATTAATGTTAAGACAATACGATTTAATTTAAAGTTGGTTTGTTAAAGAAATAATACTGAATATTATTGTTTAAATAATATAAAGATTTAGAATAAATAACTTGGACATTCAGATTTGAATATTAATGTAAAATTTATCTAAAAGATTTGAATATTAATGTAAAATTTATCTAAATTAATTGAATCGAAAACAAGGACATTAATGTAAATTACTCTAATTAATGGAATGGAAAAGGCTTAAAATTTTCGAATTTGAATATTAGTGTTAATTTGATCTAATTCAATTGGTTTGTAAATTAATCGAATAGGAAATCATTAATATTCGAATTTGAATATTAATGTTTATTGATTCAATTAAATTGAATAGATAACAAATATCATTCGACAATTTAAAATTAATTAAAAATGTATTTAACGTAATTGAATTGAAAATTATTTATATGAATTTGAATATTAGTATTAAATTGGTCTAAAACAATTGAATAGAAACTTAATGTAAAATTGTTTAAACTGATTAAATACAAAAAAATATTAATATTCAAATTTGAATATTAATGTTACTAATAAAGGTTGTCGAATTAATATTGATCAATTCACTTTGCTTTAAACTTACTTTATATCATCAATATTCGAATTTGAATATTAGTATTAATTTAATCTAATTTAAATGAATATGGAAAATATCACATATCATAAGACAATTGAAAATTTTTTAAATTGATTACACAGAAAAATTTATTTATATTCAAATTTGAATATTAATATTAAGTGATTAATTTGACTGGATTGGAAATTAACATTAATATTCGAATTTGAATATTAGTGTTGCTAATAAAAGTTGTCGAATCAACATATTCTTTATATTGAATTTAAAAGCTTTTAGGATGAAATATAAATTATCACTATTAATATTGATTAACTTACTTTAATGGTTTACAAATATGTTTTGTACAACGGCAAATTTCAGGGAAAATTATGTTGATGGCGATATCACTATTGATTAAAGTAATTTAATTATCTTAGATGTTAACTAATTTCGTTAGATTAATCTTAATAATTGTCAATTATAATTTATTTGTTGTTTATTAGTTGAATAAAATTGTGTATGATAGTTGTTATAATTTATTTATAATGTGTTAGTAATGTGTAGTTCAGTGAATTTGCAAAAATCGAGATAGGTGGAGTTGTAAGTTTTGCAATAGATTAAATTGTTATTCATGGATAAATGAAGGAAAATTTCTAGAATTAATTGTTTTTATCATAATTCACATGTTTATTCTTTAAGGATTTAAATTAGCAGTATTAATCTTTTGGGATTTAATACAAACATTTATCATTGCAATTTTTTAATTTAATTTCAGTTATTTAAGGTTACAAAGTCTCTGTGCATGTAAATACATTCAGAAGATAAAGCAATTGAGGTTAAGCAAAAGAAATAAGCTTAGTTTTAGTTGTCAATTTTAACATATTTATCTTCATCTGAGTTATAAATTAAACCTTCGTTTAATAATTTATCGCAGATTTCAGTTAGAGCTTGTATATGTAATGTATTAAAAATTTTATGAAGCTCAGTTTTAGAGATATTATCATTTTCGACAATTACTTTATAAACTGAGTTTTGGAGCTCTGTTAATCCATTTTTTTTTGACATTAATCGTAAGAGTAAATCATCACGATTAATTTCTAATTCGTGTAAGTTTTCTGTATAATTATCCATTATTAAGTTTATTTTGTATGGAATAATTATTTGTGATGTCAGAAATTTTATTAATTTACCGATTATTTTCACTTGTTGACCAATTTTCAAATCTTTTATTTCTTTGTTATTTTTTACGTATAAACTGCCAAATTTGTCTTCCAATTGTATCATTTCCGTTTGTGGCAAAAGCATCTTTATCTTGGCGACGATCATAATCATTTTTATGTTATGATTATGTATGATCAATCCATCATTTTGATGCCAATTATTTCTTATTGTGGATATATTTACCGAAATTATGTTGTCCAATTCTATTGCCATGATAACTTGTTTTTTGAAAATAAGAAAAATTATTTCGAGTGTTAGTACAGTAAAGTAATTTAATACAAATGAATATTAAAAAATTGTTAATTTACGAATTTGAATATTAATGTTAATTTATTCTATTAATTGAATCGAAAACAAGGACATTAATGTAAATTACTCTAATTAATTGAATGGAAAAGTCTTAGAATTTTTGAATTTGAATATTAATGTTTATTGATTCAATTAAATTGAATAGATAACAAATATTATTCGACAATTTAAAATTAATTAAAAATGTATTTAACGTAATTGAATTGAAAATTATTAATATATGAATTTGTATATTAGTATTAAATTGGTCTAAAACAATTGAATAGAAACTTAATGTAAAATTGTTTAAACTGATTAAATACAAAAAAATATTAATATTCAAATTTGAATATTAATGTTACTAATAAAGGTTGTCGAATTAATATTGATCAATTCACTTTGCTCTAAACTTACTTTATATCATCAATATTCGAATTTGAATATTAGTATTAATTTAATCTAATTTAAATGAATATGGAAAAAAATATTAATTTTCGAATTTGAATATTAGTGTTAATTTGATTTAATTCAATTGGTTTGAAAATTACTTGAATAGGAAATCATTAATATTCTAATTTGAATATTAATGTTTATTGATCCAATTAAATTGAATATCACATATCATAAGACAATTGAAAATTTTTTAAATTGATTACACAGAAAAATTTATTTATATTCAAATTTGAATATTAATATTAAGTGATTTAATTTGACTGGATTGGAAATTAACATTAATATTCGAATTTGAATATTAGTGTTGCTAATAAAAGTTGTCGAATCAACATATTCTTTATATTGAATTTAAAAGCTTTTAGGATGAAATATAAATTATCACTATTAATATTGATTAACTTACTTTAATGGTTTACAAATATGTTTTGTACAACGGCAAATTTCAGGGAAAATTATGTTGATGGCGATATCACTATTGATTAAAGTAATTTAATTATCTTAGATGTTAACTAATTTCGTTAGATTAATCTTAATAATTGTCAATTATAATTTATTTGTTGTTTATTAGTTGAATAAAATTGTGTATGATAGTTGTTATAATTTATTTATAATGTGTTAGTAATGTGTAGTTCAGTGAATTTGCAAAAATCGAGATAGGTGGAGTTGTAAGTTTTGCAATAGATTAAATTGTTATTCATGGATAAATGAAGGAAAAATTTCTAGAATTAATTGTTTTTATCATAATTCACATGTTTATTCTTTAAGGATTTAAATTAGCAGTATTAATCTTTTGGGATTTAATACAAACATTTATCATTGCAATTTTTTAATTTCAGTTATTTAGGTTACAAAGTGCATTAAATACATTCAGAAGATAAAGCAATTGAGTTTAATTAATTTAATTTAGTTAAATAATAAACAATTGTACAGTAAAACCTTGTTAAGGGAATACTTGGTAAGGGAATATTTTGTTACGCCATCTATTGGTTCAAACTATTTTCTATGGACAAATTTAATTGACCAACATTAATTAACGAAAAAAAAGAGTCAAATCAATAGGTGGCAGCATCAAAATAAAATATTCCCTTAGCAAGGTTTTACTGTATTTAAATATGAATATTAATGATTTTATATTATATATCAAATTGTAGTGATTACATGTTGACCATTGAACAAAAACATTTCTGAATAATGTTGCAAATCAATGTTGTTGATAATCATGTATAAGCATTTATCAAAATGACTTTTTTCGTCTGAAATGCCTATTTTGATTTTCAGTAGTATATCAGACCAGTATAACCAATGAGTTGTATCTAATTCTTTTTTCATTGAATCGAAAAATGGATCGATTATCACGTGTTTTATTATGTCCTCGTTTCTTCTTGTTTTTTCATCCTCACTGTAATATGATCCACTCATCCAGTTGTATATTTCTACAGCGATCCTAAATCTTAAACGATACATGTATTTGTTATAGAGATGTTGATCAATCGTCAAAAAGATAAAAGAAGGAACAATGTATATAAAATCTACTAGAAGATTATCGTTAGAAACCGTTCCTCCAATCAGGACCATCTTTTTTTCTGGAATATTTTTGGTCTGAGAAAATACAATATAAAATCATTTTTAATCCATTATATAATATTAGATGAAGTTTCAAATGGAACAGTTATAACATAATAAATTACTTACTTGTAATTTCGTTGAATTATTGTTTTGTTTGAAATAGAGTGGAATAGTTTTCCCGCTGTCAAATATGTTTAATGTAAAGTATACACATTTGCGACCATACATATCATAAGTTAAGTTTTTATAAATTTTACCACAGACACTTATACTTTTTCCAATCGATGGATTTATCAATAAATCCATTGGTGCATGAGCTGTACGTAAGAAATATAATTGCCTCTTTGATAACATAATTATAAAAGATAGCTTATTAATGATTGAACTATAATTTATAAATGGTTCTGATACGTACGTATAGAGAAAATAAGCAATGAGTGTTGAGAGTGTGTGAAAGAAAGAGAGTAGGAGAGTTATTAATTAGATTAATTGAGCACTATCATTTTGCTAATCTAATAGTATTGATTATTGTGATTTACTTTAATAAGAAATAATTGCAATTTTTTAATTTGAATTTGTTGTTGGTAAAATAATTTATTAATTACTGATTTAATTTATTGCATATTTGAATTTGAATATTAATGTTTAATTGATTCAATTTATTGAATCGAAATTCGCTAATATTCGAATTTGAATATTAATGTTGAATTGATCTAAACAGTTGAATATGAAAAAGTGCTAACATTTGAAGCATTTTAATGTTAATTGATTTAAATTAAATTGAATATAAAATTAAGATCATTAAGGCAAATTGAAAATTAATTAATGAATGATAAATTTTATTAATAGAAAATTACTAATATTTGAATTCGAATATTTATGTCTATTGATTCAATTTATTAGATTGAAATTCATCATTTCAAAATTTGAATATTAATGTTAAATTGAACTAAATTAATTGAATCGAAAAATTTATCAATATTCGAATTTGAATATTAATGTTAATTGAACTAAATTGCATGAATAGTAAATTATTAATATTCGAATTTGAATATTAATGTTAATTGATTCAATTTAATTAATTAGAAAACTAAGATCAATAAGATAATTTTAAAATTATAAATGAAATGATCATTTTTATTAATTGAATAGTAATAATTATTTGATTTAATAGGAAATAAATCGCAATTTTTTATTCGAATCATAACTTGTTGTAATTTTTATTGTAATTTTTGTTTTTCAATTTTATTAATACACAATCAATCAATTAAATGTAAGATTACATACATTTAAAGTAATTAACAGATTAATGAAAATAAAGAACTAACATCTTATTGAAATTTTGAAACGAACGTGGAAAGCAGCATAATTTTGGAATGGATAGAGTAAATCAGCAGTAGCATTAATGATCTACGAAAATTTGTTTGAAATGTAAGCATAATTAATTTTATTCAGTTGTTTCATTTATTATTTAGTCAATTTAGTTAGAGTATCGATTTGATGTTTCAAATTGTGGATGTAAGTAGGTGATGTAATTTCATCCAATGAGATTATCTTGTTTGAGATTGATGTCGTTTCATTGTATGTATTTATAGTTGATTTAATTTTGAAGCTCCATTTTGTTAGTATGATTGTATTTATTTTTAAATTATATTTGTTTTTATCATTTAAAGATAATTGCTCCAAATCATTTGCATTGATATGCAATAATTTTTGAATCTCTTCATCGAATACTTTAACATATATTGAACATGTTGCATCGGTTAGTTTCATTGTCAATACCATTTTCCTTTGCATGATTATGTTTGCTTTACAATTTTCACAATATGGTTTCTCAACCTTTTTTTTGCAAATTGTATTTGGGCAAGCATTGTAGAATGTTGATTGTAAAATTGCTGTAATTGTTGCGATCACATTTGTTGTTAGTGTTAAGTTAGCAAGTTTTGTTATTTCCTCATAATTTATTTTATACAAATATGAGTGTTGGTATAAAGCCGAACTTAATTGAATTGGTTCGTTTGTATTATGTTGTTGATACCAATTTCGCAATTGATCACTTTCAGGTATTTGTGGGTTAATTGTTATTGTTGTTGCTGCGGTTGTTGATAATTTCAATCCTTGATAGGATATTATTCGTAGCTTTCGGGCCATTATTATGTTACTTGGAATTGGATTATAATTGTTTGCTTCAGCTTCCCATAGAGTTATTGTAATTGAAGTTGCAGTATCATCCATAATTGTAATATCACGTTTTGTTTTAGTTTTATTGTCTTTTGTAGTTATTGTATTAGCGTCTTCACAATATTTAATAATACCAATCACATCCACTATTGTTCCTATTTGATGGTCAGGAATTGAATTTAATTTAGCTAAATTCGTTTCGACAATAGTTATATTTTCGGGCGATTCAACAATTACTGTACTTGAGTTTATGTTAATTTCGTAATCATGATTAATTGTTGAATAAGTCTTATTGGTATCCTTGATCGTTCCATATTTTATTTTATAATTTTTTTGTTCCATGATTTGATCAAAATATTTATCACATTGATCGCCAAAAGCTGTTATCTTTATTTCACTTGTATTATCAGCCATAACAAATGAAAAATATTTACCTGCATTTCGGGAATTTTCAAAAGTTTTGAGTTGTGTTTTATTAACAACTTTACCAAGAATACACCAGTTGACAGAATATAAAGTTAATTCCTTTATTGGTATTATGGTATCATCAATGGTTTCTGGTTTGTCATTATTTTGTTTTAATTTTTTTTCTTTATTACCTGTGAATGATTAAAGTAATTTAACATATGTAATTAATCTAACATATTGATTGTTTGCTGTTGATAGTACGATAAAAAATTAAAATAATAACTTACCTTGAGATGTAGGTTTACTAGGTCTTTTATTTCCGTCCATCATAGAAATTTTGATTGTTAATAGTTTGATGGTTAAGGTAATTTATCAATTGAACGTAATTATAATTAAATTATTATAGATTGAAGATTGATATTTTTTTGCAAATTACACAGAAATTGTTTCAAATGAATTCACTTTATTAAATCGTTTACACTTAATAATAATTTTTACTCTTGATTTGGTTGTACTTGATGTTATACATGTTTATGATTAAATGAAAATAGATTATAATTTTCAATTTAATGTTTGATGATGATAACAAATGATTAATAAGTCAATTGAATGTGTGATTAAATCCTTTGAGATTACAACCATGTTATTAGTAGTTTTAATTATTACAGTTATTTTTTTATGTAAAGGGTCATTATGAGTAATAAAGAAATTAAAAAAGGTTCAGATGAAATGATAAATATTTAAGATTCAATAATTAAGAATTTTTGTTAATGATATATGTCTAGGGAATTATGTCATCGTTACTTTTTTAACTGATTATATTTAATTCTGTAGGGATTTTGATGAGAAATTTATAATTCAAATAGAGAGAGAAAAAAATAAAAATGAGTTTATAATTTATGTCATTGTTAATTAAGATATTTGGTTGTATTGAATTAAATTACATGAATAGTAAATCATTAATATTTGAATTTGAATATAAATGTTAATTGATTCAATTAAATTAAATAGAAAACAAAGGTCAATAAGACAATTTGAAATTAATGAAGGATTTAATTTATTAAATAGAAAATTTTCAATATTGTATTTTGTTTATAAATGTTGAATTGAAGTAAATTTATTGAACTAAAATGCATTGATATTCAAATTTGAATATTGATGTTAAATTGAGCTGAATTAATTGAATTTAAAAATTGAAATAACATTAATATTCGCATTTGAATATTAATGTTTATTTTCAATTCAATTAAATTAAATTGAAATAACATTAATATTCGTATTTGAATATTAATGTTAATTTTCGATTCGATTTTCGAGATCAAATTTTCTAAAAAGAGGTGGCGCCAGTAAAGAAAAGAAAAAAATTAATTTCTTTTCTGTTTTTAATCTTTCAGTGATTAAAGTAGTTCCTCGTTAATTGTGCTTAGAATAACCTTTTAAGGTGAGTGATTAAAGTAGTTTTAAGAAAATGATTAGCCAATTAGGAAGAGAATTTAAGATTATGTGGTTGATTAAATTGTCCAATGATTTTCCTTGTAATTAATTGTACAATTTGAATAAAAGTTGAATTGATATAAAAGATCAAGTGTCAAGATGTTTACAATGATATTGTCGATTGGACAGTTCCGGTTTTCCCGCTTCGAGGCGACAAAATTGGACCAAAAATGAAAAAACGTCAAATGATAAGTCAAGTTATGTCCGAATTGAAAACTATTTGGGCCGATAACTCATTTGAAATGACCGATGATGAGCTTATCAAGGAGATGGACAAACTAATAGAGAAATATAATTCAATTGCTTCTTGATGATTAGGAATAATTGTAATTAAGTATTCAAATACACCATTAAAGTTCATATTGAAATTTTATTTCGGTATAAATCAAGTCGAATCATCGATATAGAATCAAAAGAAACCATCCAATGGATGTTGTCTGTCCAGCAGATTCAGAGCTTTTGTTCAGAATGAGTTCTATCTTTAGGAGAAATTAAGAGAAACAATTTATCACAGATAAGATCGTCTTCTTTTAGAAAGTCATGTTGACTTAAATAGCCACTGATGTTACTGGATTTTTACTAATCGAATCATCAAAAGCGTTTTGAACGACCGTTTTTAAATCTTTTTCTCCTGATTCTTTCCAATATTTAACGATTGTTGATAAATTTGGACAATTAGATAAACATTGAGGGTTCGGTGATGCCATAACTTCAATTAAAATTTTGGCAAATTTATCTTCCTCGGGTCTCAATGTTGACGATGCTTGAGAAAGATAACTAGCCAACATCGGATAATCAGTTGCTACCTGTCGACCAGCTTGACATGCTATTGATTCCTTACACTCGTCACTGTCCAGTCCAAGAACGACCATCGCTTGTTGAACCAATGGTTCCAGTTCAGTCACCTGGTTGAGTTTCTTGACAAAGGAATCAGTTGAACCAACCAACGGCTCCACAACTGGACCAAGATTACGAGCTGATCTGGCGATTGTTGGTCCAACCAAATAAGATGTCACCCCGAATAAAGATAAAGACCTTTGAAGGGCTTCAGCCAGTCCTGGTACAGGATTTGTTAAAGCTCGAATCATAATTGGAACCACAGTGTCAACAAGTTGGTTCTGTTTGACAATTAGTTCTCGTAATAACTCTATAGCGGGCAAAGATTCAATTGTTTCTATTATATTCTCGGGACCCAAGGGCATTGACGGCGATGAAACTGAGGAGGTTTGAGGAACCATTGTGTTTGGTCGTTGGCTGGATAGGTCAAAATTCACCAATAAAATTAAACAAATTAAAATAAACACACTTGTTGATGAACTATTCATGATGTGGAAATTAAAATGATTGCAAAGCAACACTAGGAAAATAATAATTAACTGGTATTTGGTAAAAGTGATGAGAAACTGTTTCAGTTTAATTGACTTAAAATTGTGATGACATTAAACATAAGACACTTGATCTTTTATATCAATTCAACTTTTATTCAAATTGTTGAACCAATGGTTCCAGTTCAGTCACCTGGTTGAGTTTCTTGACAAAGGAATCAGTTGAACCAACCAATGGCTCCACAACTGGACCAAGATTACGAGCTGATCTGGCGATTGTTGGTCCAACCAAATAAGATGTCACCCCGAATAAAGATAAAGACCTTTGAAGGGCTTCAGCCAGTCCTGGTACAGGATTTGTTAAAGCTCGAATCATGATTGGAACCACAGTGTTAACAAGTTGGTTCTGTTTGACAATTAGTTCTCGTAATAACTCTACAGCAGGCAAAGATTCAATTGTTTCTATTATATTCTCGGGACCCAAGGGCATTGACGGCGATGAAACTGAAGAGGTTTGAGGAACCATTGTGTTTGGTCGTTGGCTGGATAGGTCAAAATTCACCAATAAAATTAAACAAATTAAAATAAACACACTTGTTGATGAACTATTCATGATGTGGAAATTAAAATGATTGCAAAGCAACACTAGGAAAATAATAATTAACTGGTAAAAGTGATGAGAAACTGTTTCAGTTTAATTGACTTAAAATTGTGATGACATCAAACATAAGACACTTGATCTTTTATATCAATTCAACTTTTATTCAAATTGTACAATTAATTACAAGGAAAATCATTGGACAATTTAATCAACCACAAAATCTTAAATTCTCTTCCTAATTGGCTAATCATTTTAATTTTAAATTAATTAATGAATGATTTGATTTTATTAAATAGAAAATTTTCAATATTGTATTTTGTTTATAAATGTTGAATTGAATTAAATTTATTGAACTAAAATGCATTGATATTCAAATTTGAATATTGATGTTAAATTGAGCTGAATTAATTGAATTTAAAAATTGAAATAACATTAATATTCGCATTTGAATATTAATGTTTATTTTCAATTCAATTAAATTAAATTGAAATAACATTAATATTCGTATTTGAATATTAATGTTAATTTTCGATTCAATCGACTTAGATTGAAATAACATTAATATTCGAATTTGAATATTAATGTTGTATTGAATTAAATTACATGTATAGTAAATCATTAATATTCAAATTTGAATATTCATGTTAATTGATTCAATTAAATTAAATAGAAAGTAAAGGTTAATAAGACAATTCGAAAATAATTAATTAATGATTCAATTTTATTATAGAAAATCTTTAATATTCGAATTTGAGTATTAATGTTATTTGATTCAATCTATCGAACTGATACTCATTAATATTCAAATATAATATCATCCATAATTGTAATATCACGTTTTGTTTTAGTTTTATTGTCTTTTGTAGTTATTGTATTAGCGTCTTCACAATATTTATAATACCAATCACATCCACTATTGTTCCTATTTGATGGTCAGGAATTGAATTTAATTTAGGTAAATTTGTTTCGACATTAGTTATATTTTCGGGCGATTCAACAATTACTGTACTTGAGTTTATGATAATTTCGGTATCATGTTTAATTGTTGAATAAGTCTTATTGGTATCCTTGATCGTTCCATTTTTTATTTTATAATTTTTTTGTTCCATGATTTGATCAAAATATTTATCACATTGATCGCCAAAAGCTGTTATCTTTATTTCACTTGTATTATCAGCCATAACAAATGAAAAATATTTACCTGCATTTCGACAATTTTTAAAAGTTTTGAGTTTTGTTTTATTAACAACTTTACCAAGAATACACCAGTTGACAGAATATAAAGTTAATTCCACTATTGGTATTATTGTATCATCAATGGTTTCTGGTTTGTCATTATTTTGTTTTAATTTTTTTTCTTTATTACCTGTGAATGATTAAAGTAATTTAACATATGTAATTAATCTAACATATTGATTGTTGCTGTTGATTGATGAAAAATTAAAATTAATAATATACACCTTGAGATGTAGGTTTATTAGGTCTTTTATTTCCGTCCATCATAGAAATTTTGATTGTTAATAGTTTGATGGTTAAGGTAATTTATCAATTGAACGTAATTATAATTAAATTATTATAGATTGAAGATTGATATTTTTTGCAAATTACATAGAAATTGTTTCAAATGAATTCACTTTATTAAATCGTTTACACTTAATAATAATTTTTACTTTTGATTTGGTTGTACTTGATGTTACACATGTTTATGATTAAATGAAAATAGATTGTAATTTTCAATTTAATGTTTGATGATGATAACAAATGATTAATAAGTCAATTGAATGTGTGATTAAATCCTTTGAGATTACAACCATGTTATTAGTAGTTTTAATTATTACAGTTATTTTTTTATTTAATGGGTTATTATGAGTAATAAAGAAATTAAAAAAGGTTCAGATGAAATGATAAATATTTAAGATTCAATAATTAAGAATTTTTGTTAATGATATATGTCTAGGGAATTATGTCATCGTTACTTTTTTAACTGATTATATTTAATTCTGTAAGGATTTTGATGAGAAATTTATAATTCAAATAGAGAGAGAAAAAAATAAAAATGAGTTTATAATTTATGTCATTGTTAATTAAGATATTTGGTTGATGATATGTGATTTGAGAATTAAATGTTTCTTTTACAATTTAATAAATTTTTACATAGGTCAAATATTTGATGAGAGATAAGATCAAAAGATAAGAGAGGGAAAATGAAGAGAAAGTGAAAGAAAAAGAGAGAGAGTAAGGATGTGTAATGACGTGAGAAGAGAATGAACAATATACTTCAGTTCAAAGGAGGTCATGATGTTCATATCATTTATAGTTGAATCTTTAATTCAATTTATAAAATAAAAAAACACTAATATTCAAATTCGTATATTAATTTAACTTGATTCAATTTATCATATTGAAATTATTAATATTCGAATTTGAATATTAATGTTGTATTGAATCAAATAAATAGTAAATTCATTAATATTCGAATTTGAATATTAATGTTAATTGATTAAATCAGATTAAACGTAATAGCGATAAGACAATTTGAAAATTAGTCCAAATTGATTTAATTGAATTTAATTAAAACTTTATAATATTTAATTTAAAATTAATGTTTAAATGATTAAATTTATTGTATTGAAACTCATTAATATTCAAATTTAAATATTAACGTTAAATTGAATTAAATTAATTGAATAGTATAAAGCATTAATATTTGAATCTGAATAACAATGTTAATTGATTCAATTAAATTGATTTAATTAAATTAAATTGAAAATAAAGATCAATAAGACAAATCGATACTTAATTAATGAATAATTCAATTTTATTAAATAGAAAATTATCAATATTCGTATTTGATTATTATTGTTAAATTGATTCAATTTATTGAATTAAAATTCATTAATATTCGAATTTGAATATCAATGTTAATTGTTTAAACAGATTAAATGTAACAAATAGCAATAAGACAATTTGAAAATTAGTCCAAATTGATTTAAATGAATTTAATCAAAACGTTATAATATTTATATTTAAAAAGTAATGTTAATTTGATTAAATTTATTGTATTGAAACTCATTAATATTCAAATTTGAATATTAATGTTTGATCAATCCAATTTAACTGAATATGGAAATAACATTTCCAATTATTTCAAATATATCAAATTCATTGATAATGAGGCTTTTTATTTGTGTTTTATAATATTTTCTTAAGAATGATTGTGATTGACGATTTTAGTGATGATAGAATACAAATGAATGATTTAGATTTGTTTGGTTTCGGGTGAATGATTAATGCCAACATGGTTTTATAATGAAATTTATGTTCATCCGATAGGTTATTTGGCCGTGGTGATTGAGATTTGATTTCTATTATTCTTTTGTAATGGTAGTACTCTGCATAAATGAATAATGAATAATTGTTTAAAAATCAATAATTATTTAAGAGTTAAAATACTTACATGAATCATTGTATTTATTTTTTAGGTTGTTTATTTTGGTTATTTGCCGGGAGTTTCCACAAATATTTTAATAATTCGGTTGGTGTTTCATCTTCTTGAGAATTAATTTGTACTTTTTCAATTTTCTTAGCATTTTGTAAATAAATGTTTATTTGTTGTTGTTGTAGCTCTTCATCGTATGATAGAAATGTGTCTGTATCAGCATTAAATTTACAAACAAAATTGTCAGTAGCAATGAAAATTTCATACGCTTGAGGGGTTTTTTCTGCTCTCCTGAATGTTGTATCGTCATCTTTTTGGTTATTCATTTTCATTAATATAGATTAAACAACATAAATACAATATGGTTAACAAATTTAATGATAAACAATACAGTTTTGAATACATCAAGAGTTGTTTATTTGTATTTTAATCAACGCCATCTTTCATCAATATGTTAATCAATGTGAGCGAAATTCAAATTTTGTTTAGTTGAATCTATTGTTTGGTTAATATGTAGAAGTATCCAAATGATTTGTTACAATTTTTTTTTAACAATAAAATAGCGTGATTTGAGAAGTGGTAAATAAAAGCGTTGATTTGGAAATCGCATTGTAACAAGATCATTTTTCGTTCTTATATAAGTAGAATCTGTAAATGATGATCGAATAAGTAAAATTTCTTCACCTTTTTCAATCATGATTTTCTTTTCCTTTGTATTAATAGTAATATCAAATGGACAGTGTATTAGTTTTGTCATGTAATCATTACTATTCAGAAATTTTGATAGCAAAGTGAGATTTAAATTTGAATAATGTTGTATAATTTTGTTTCTCGACCAATTATATATTTTAAACGGTTTTTCATCCAAAATTTTTTCTTGAGAACATTTTTCTATTCTAGAAGTCAATCTTCTCAATTTGGTTGAATTGTAATTGTTTTCTGCTTCTTTTTTGTCGATTTTGGATAGCGTTGAAGTTTTATGATCTTTAAGTAAATCTTCGTGATTAAAGGGATTAAATAGTAACATACGTTTTCCATCGGTAGTTATTTTTTTGATGATATCATCTTCATTTAAAGTTGATTCATTACAAGTTGTTGAATGAATTGGTCCTAATGTATTTATATCGGTCATTAACTGGCAAATGTTTATTTTACCAGTTTTTAATTGTGGATTTTTTTCATCGATGACTCTTGATGCTAAGGCTTGCTTATCGATTTGTTGTTCGTACAAAAATCTTTCCATGGAATCATATGATACAAATCGATATATAAAACAGGGTTTTTGTTGTCCAAATCTAAAAATTCTATGCGTTGCTTGTGAGTCATTTGTTGGGTTCCAAGATGTGTCAAATAAGATTAAGCGATTTGCGCTTGTTAAATTGAGTCCCAAACTACCAGCTTTTGTAGATATTAGCATCAAATGGGTTTTTATATCTTCATTAAACTTGTTAATAACTGTAATCTTTTGTTTGTTTGATAGAGAGCCATCCAATCGGACATAATTACAATTTTTCAGCCAATTAACTTGTTTTTTGTCCTCGCTAGTATAAGGTTTTTGGTGTAAAAAATCTTCAATGATATCGAGCGTTAACATTGATTGACTGAATACAAGTACTTTATCTTGTTTCAAAATAGATTGTTGAATTATCATTAATAATAATTCAATCTTATTTCCATTTGATACATGGCCAGTTTCGTATCGTTCGAAAATAGATCTTGTTGCTTTGATAGATGTCTTGATGTAATTGCATTCAATTGTTGATATTGCATCCAATGTTTCGATGTTCATAGTTCGAAACGTTTTGTAAAAAATATCTGGATGATTCCAAATCTAGATGAATTATATAATTTAGCATTATGTATTTAAGTAAAGACTTAGAATTATTAAATCACTTACTTTCAACAATATAGTTCCTAGAGTTAAAATGTTGAATGCATTGTCGAAATCCAACATTTTAGTTAAAAAAGTTTTCATCAATTGTTTTTGTATCATTGTTGATTTTACAGGAATAACGAAATCAATTTTCTTTGGTAAACTCGATTTTAGTATATTGTCATCTCGCCTTAAAAATAGAATAAAAATTATGTTAATCATTTTATGCGATTGATTGATTTGTATTATTATTCATGATTAAATAATAACGATAACAAATCATTTTATGATTTCATTAGATTCATAGTTACCTTTGAATAAAACTTCGGACAAGTTTATTTATAACGTGGGCCTGTTTTTGCATGTGATTTATATCATTGTCTGTACTGTCCTTTTTTTGTCCGATCGAAATTGGTTGTACAAAATTTGTTATAAATTCGTCTCTTGATCCAAAAAAATTAGGACGAATGAAATTGATCATACACCAATATTCGATCAAATTATTTTGCATTGGTGTTCCTGTTAATAAAAGCCTTCGTTTGGTTCGTACTTTTCCAAGTGCTAATGTTATTTTACTTTCTGGATTTTTTATTTTATGACCTTCGTCACAAACAACCAAATCAGGTCCTGGATCAACAAGTTGTGTAAATAAATTCTTTTCTTCGGACATTGAAGCATAACATTCATATCCTATTAGCAGAATACCTTTTTTTTTTGTCCACCATTTTTCTGGAATAAAAGAGTTTTGAGAATGTTAAAGCAATTTAATATTAGTGTTAAAAATTTATTACTTACTAATTATTGACATCTTTGCTTCTTTTGTCTTTCCACTATTAGCAATAGAAATTGAGAATCTGTTGGGATTAGCAGGATCTTTAGGCAAAAATTTTTCAAATTCGTTGTACCAATTGGAAAGCAATGAAACTGGTATAACAATCATAACTGTTTTTGATTTTGTATATTTCAAATAAATTTCAATGAAACTTATTACTTGTAAAGTTTTCCCTAGTCCCATACTGTGGGCTAAAATACAACCAGATCCATTTTCTTTGTGAAAAGTGGCTAAATTTCCGATTAGATTGTCATAAAGAAATCTAATGCCACCAATTTGATGAGGTTTCAGAATTTTGGACAATGATTCTCTTAAATAAATTGGTGGTTCTTTACCACTATTCACATTTACCAAAACTCGTCCAGTGTTATCAGGTTTGTTGAAAGTATCATTTGTATGAAGAGCGATGTTATTGTGATTGTTATTGATGGTTTCTAACTCGTTATTATCACTTTGCAATGGGTCAATGGTTTGACATGATGAAATCTGAATATTCATTTGTTCATCCACATTTTTATCTCTTACGTTTTTTGTTTTATCATGTTGAGTTGAGGTGGTTAATTGGTCAGAAACCAATGAATTCACAAGTTTAGTATGTTTTGTTTTTCTGTGTTTATTGTTGTTGATCAAATGAGATTCACTTACTGTAAATTTTCTTTTGTCCACTTTACCACTTATTCTGCTCATATTTTTGGTTTAAAATGTTCACTTTCAGTAAATTTAGCTAAAAATTAACGCACAGGTTAAAAAATGAATCAAAATTGAATTGGAAATAAAATTTGGTCACTATGGTTGTGATTGAAAATATTGAAAAGAAAAAAAGCTAAATCTGATTTATAAAATATCGATATATCGAAAGACATCGATATCTATTTTATTCGATTTAATTTAATTTTTAAATTAGTTTATTTGGTTATATTGAAAATACTAGTATTGTGTTAATAAAATAATTAAGATAAATATTTCTATTTGGTAAATAATGACAAATTAATCCAATTCATTTGAATAAAAAAAATCATTAATATTCGATTTGGAATATTTATGTTAAATCAATTCAATTTAATTCTATGTGCAAATACAATAATATTCGAATTTTAATGTTTAATTGATTTTAATTGATCGAATTGAAAAAATTATAATATTCGAAGTTGAATATTAATGTTAATCGATTCAATAAATTTAATAGAAAACAAAGATCAATAAGATAATTTAAAATTATTAATATTTGTTAATTGATCAAAATTCATTGAATAGAGTATCATTTAATGAGTTTCAATTCAATTGTTTAGATCAATTGGAATTAATATTCAAATTTGAATATTAATGATACTCTATTCAATTAATTTGGATCAATTAACAAAATATTAATAATTTTAAATTGTCTTATTGATCTTTGTTTTCTATTAAATTTATTGAATCAATTAACATTAATATTCAACTTCGAATATTAATAAGTTTCAATTCAATTAATTAAATCAAATAGAATTAATATTCGAATTTGAATATTAATGTTAATTGAATCGATTGGAATAAATAGAAAACGAAGATTAAATTATTTAAAAATTGATTTAAATTGATTGATAGAAAAAGCATCAATATTTTAATTTAAACTAATGAAGTCAATTGATTTTAGTTAAATAAAATATAAACGTTACTTTTTAAATTTGAATAATAATGTTAATGTATTTTAATGAAAAATTGTAATGATTTTACAATAATGAAAACTGAATAATTTTTCAATCAACAGTCATGTTAGAAATTACTTTTTTTTAGGTAAACCAAATTTATTTTTTTTGCTATCGATATGCTTTTCATTTATGTGTCGAAAGATATTTGTATAACTTCGAACTACTTGTGGTGGGTTACAAGTCAAACAAACTGCACCATGAAAAATATTTGAAATGTGTTGTGTAATATTATATTTGTTGTTTGTAGCTTTGATTGAGCAAGGATGATTATATTTACAGAAATATGTTGTATTTGTACCGATTTTGGAATCACCTAGATAAATTTCGCCTTTTTCTTTAAATTGTTTCAAAGTTTTTTTTTCAAAAGTTTCCATATCGATAATATAATAATAATAAACCTCTTTAAATTTGTATAAATATTGATCGTGAATAATTTCAACTGGAAAATTGGCCATTCTATCATCATATTCATCATCCGAATCATTTGATTTATCAGCTTGATTATGTAAATTTTTATGTTTTTGGTGTTGAGTATCAGCATTAGATTCTTTTAAATTTGATGAATTAGCTGATGATGAAGATTGTGAATTTATTTTGGTTAATGAAGATTTTTGAAAACCAGTTGATGTTGATGGTTGTGGATCAGATAAGTCACTGGTTGGTTTTTCGTAATTGTTATTTATAATTGGTACTTTGGAAATATCTGTAGAATTATGTTCTTGGTGATCAAGGGGTGGCAATTGATTCATCTGTTGATCTTCTAATAATGGTGATGTGTTTTCATTTGATCCATGGTTTTCAATAGATGTTGATTGCTGTTGTTCTTTTAAATGCGTTGTTGAATTGTTGTTTTTATCAATTTCCATCAATAAATTTGAAATATTTGTTGACACTTGATTTTGTGTTTTGTTTTCTTGAGCAGTTAAATTATATTGATTTTTATGTTGAGTATCGACAATAGATTCTGTTGAATTTGATGAATTAGTGGATAGTGATGACGATGAAGATTGAGAATTTGTTTTGATTAATGATGATTTTTGAAAATCGTTTGAAATTGTTGATGTTGTTGGTTGTAATTTAGAGAATTCATTGGTAGATTTTGTGTAATCATCATCTATAATTGTTTCTTCGGAAATATTTGATGAATCTTGTTCTTGGAAATCATTAAGTGGTGGCAACTGATTCATTTGTAGGTCTTCTAATAATGATGATGAGTTTTCATTTGAACCATGGTTTTCAATATATGTTGATCGCTGTTGGTCTTTTGGTGTATTCGTTGTTGAATCGTCGTCTTCATCAATTTCCATCAATAAATCTGAAATATTTGTTGAGACTTGATCTTGTGTTTTGTTTTCCTGAGCAGTTAAATTATATTGTTCTTTATGTTGAGTATTAGCAATAGATTCTCTTGAATTAGTGGATGTTGATGAAGATGAAGATTGTAATTTTGATTTAATTAATGAAGATTTTTGAAATTCTGTTGATGTTGATGGTTGTGGATCAGATAAGTTATTGGTTGGTTTTTCGCAATTGTTATTTATAATTGGTACTTTGGAAATATCTGTAGAATACTGTTCTTGGTGATCATCAAGGGGTGGCAATTGATTCATCTGTAGATCTTCTAATAATGGTGATGTGTTTTCATTTGATTCATGGTCTTTTGGTAAATTCGTTGTTGAATTGTTGTCTTTATCAATTTCCATCAATAAATCTGAAGTACTTGTTGAGGCTTGATCTTGATGATTATTTACAAATGAATGTATAATTATTTGATCTGCTGTCAATGATGGAGATGGTGATTTGTGATTAGGCAATTTTGTTTTATCGAGTTGATCAAAAAATGTTGATTGTTGTTCTTTTGCTGAGTTTGGTGTTATATCTTCATTTGAATCAATTTCTATCAACATTTCCGAATTATTTGCTGAGATTTTTTTTAGATTAGTATCAACTGATAAATGAATTATTGTTTGATTCGATGTTGGTGATACTGATGATGATTTTTGACCAGTCAATGTTGTATGTTTATGTTGATTGATTGATGTTAATAACTGTGGTTCATTTAATAATTTTATGATTGATGAAGATGATGGTGAATTTGATAATTCTGTCACTGAAATTTCCGTTGTTTCTTTCTCCGTAGCGTTCAATGTTAATTGAGAAGCATCTATTTCTTCATGATTTAGCAATGCTTCTATTTCGTCTAAATCTAATGAATCATTAAGTTCTTCATTCAATCGAATTTCATCAAGTTGATCACTATACATGTAAACTGTTTCACAAAATGTATTTTTATCATCGTCATTAGGGTATCCAAATCGTGGTATCTTCTCTTTCACTTGTTTTAATGAATGATTTGTTGGATCAATTCCGTTTGAATAACAGTTCAATATAAAACGATTCAATTTGGTTAATGTATAAATATCATAACCATTAAATTTATAATTAGGGTCCATAATAGCCAAAAGTGATATTTGGCTTACATTGATTCTAAATGTTTCTTTGGTACAGTTAAATGGTAGTTCTAACAGCGTAAAATATTTTCTCTGAAAAAAAACAAGTATTTGATTGATTAAATGGATATTTAAGTTGAAGTTTTAATGGTATATACTTACTATTTCTTTTGATGAAAAGATTGTCACCTTAGCTGTTGAAATACATTCATTAATTTCACTCATTTTGAAAGATTCAAAAAAAAACAACGGATAAGAATTTAAATGTAACAACTATTTAGCTTTTAGAAATTTCTGTGTTTTCGATTAGAAGCCAGTTAAAATAGCGCTAAATATGAATAATTTATTCAAACATGCGCAGTTATTTCTTTGTTATTAAATGTAATTAATTAAATTGTTTAAATTAATTCAAATTAATTTAATTTACAAATTTGAAATATACATTAATATTCAAGTTTGAATATCAATGTTGAATCAATTGAATTTAATTACATATGAAAAAAAATTAATATTCGAATTATAATATTAATTGTAAATCATCTAATTCAAATGAATAGGAAAAAATCATTAATATTCGAACAAATGTTTGATCAATCCAATTTGATTTAATATGAAAAAAATTATTAATTTTCAAATAGGAATATCAATGTTATTTCAATCTAATTCGATTGAATTGAAAATTAACATTAATATTCAAATACGAATATTAATGTTATTTCAATCTTAGTAGATTGTATTGAATTTAACATTAATATTCAAATGTGAATATTAATGTAACTTCAGTGCAACTTAACTTAATAGAAAATTAACATAAATATTTATAATCGAATATTAGTGTTAAATCAATCTAATTTAATTGAATAAAGAATTAACATTAATATTCAAATGCGAATATTAATGTTATTTCAATCTAATTCGATTAAATTGAATAGAGAATTAACATTAATATTCAAATGCGAATATTAATGTTACTTCAGTGCAACTTAACTTAATAGAAAATTAACATTAATATTTATAATCGAATATTAGTGTTAAATCAATCTAATTCGATTGAATTGAAAATTAACATTAATATTCAAATACGAATATTAATGTTATTTCAATCTTAGTAGATTGTATTGAATTTAACATTAATATTCAAATGTGAATATTAATGTAACTTCAGTGCAACTTAACTTAATAGAAAATTAACATAAATATTTATAATCGAATATTAGTGTTAAATCAATCTAATTCGATTAAATTGAAAATTAACATTAATATTCAAATGCGAATATTAATGTTATTTAAATTTAATTTAATTGAATAGAGAATTAACATTAATATTCAAATGCGAATATTAATGTTATTTCAATCTAATTCGATTAAATTGAAAATTAACATTAATATTCAAATACGAATATTAATGTTATTTAAATTTAATTTAATTGAATAGAGAATTAACATTAATATTCAAATGCGAATATTAATGTTATTTCAATTTAAGTCGATTGAATTGAAAATTAACATTAATATTCAAATGCGAATATTAATGTTATTACAATCTAATTTGATTGAAGGGAAAATTAATATTAATATTCGAATGAATATGAAAATTTGTTAATATTCAAATTAAGTTTAATTCAATCTAATTCAATTAAATAGAGAATTAACTCAAATATGCAAATTCGAATATTAATGTTAAAATTATGATTACTTTTATGAATTGAAAGCAAGTATTCTATTCAAATGTGAATTGATTTTTTTTATTAATATATTTTTTATTAAAAAATAGTCAAATATTAGTTCAATTATAATCAATTTAATATCAACAAGTAATATGATTAATAATCTATACAATATAGGTTATGATTCAATTTACAATTGTTTTTTTACAATAAAGTAACGAGATTTGAGAATTGGTAAAAAAAAACGTTGATTAGGTAATGTTATATAAACTAGATTATTTGTTGTTTTTATATAAACTGAATCTGTAAATGATGCTCTTATTAATAAAATTTTTTCATTTTTGTAAATAGTAAATTTTGCATCACCAGTGATAACAATAATTTTGAATGGGCAAAGTAACAATTTTGTTTCATAATCATTTTTTTTAAGATGACTCGCCAAAAAATCAAGGGTAAAATTGTTGTAATATTTTATAATTTTGGTTCGAGACCAGTTATACGGTTTGAATGGTATTTTGGCTTGTTGAATTTTGTCTTTTTCTCTTTCTGTGGTAGCAGAAAGTTTTTTAAATTTTCTTGAATTATAATTGGTCTCAGCAATTAACTTATCTTTTTCAGATAAAATTGATGTGCGATGGTTTTTCAAGAGATTTTCACAATTAAAAACATTCAATGATAACAAATTAGTATTATGTTTAACAATTGAAGTAATGATGTCATCATCATATTGTTTATCATTGTTGATTTCAATTGATTTTTCACTTTTTAAATCATTTAATAATTGATGAATATTTATCTTACTAAATTTTAGGTTAAAATCCTTTTCATCAAGAATCTTTGAGGCCAGAGCTTGTTTAACAATCTGTTGTTCAAATAATTTCTTTTCCATTGTGTCATATGATACGAATCGATAGATATAACATTCTTTTTTTTGACCAATTCTGAAAATTCTATGGATCGCTTGTGTATCGGTGGTTGGGTTCCATGATACGTCGAACAAAATTAAACGATTCGCATTTGTTAAGTTGAGACCCAAACATCCCGCTTTTGTTGAGATCAAAAACAAATGAATCTTATTGTTTTTGGTGAAATTATTAATAATTTCTGTTTTTTGTCGATTTGACAAAGATCCATCCAATCGAACATAATTATAATTTTTTCTCCATTTAACTTGCTTTTCTTTAGTAACATAATATGGGTTTTCGTGTAAAAACTTTTCAATAATGTTGAGGGTCAATAACGATTGACTGAATACAAGAATTTTATCTTTTTTTATAATAGATTGTTGAATTATCACTAATAACAGTCGAATTTTGTGTCCATATGCCATATTATTAACTTCATAATTTCCAAGATATTGGCCAGTTGCTTTTATTGACACTTTCAAATAATTATATTCTTGTTTTGATATGTCATCTAAATTCTCGATCTCCATTGTTTGGTAAGTTTTGAAAAAAATATCTGGATGATTCCAAATCTAAAATAATTAATGAATTTGTATGATTAAGATGAATGAATTATTTAATTTATCGACTTACTTTTAATAATATTGTTGCAATAGTTAATATGTTAAATGAATTTCCAAAAGTTAACAATTTGGATAAAAAACTCTTCATCAGTTGCTTTTGAATGTTAGTTGATTTAATTGGTATTACATATTCATATTTCCTGGGTAATTCGGCTTTAAGAATACTATCATCACGCCTTGAATAGAAAAATCATGATTAATATATAATAGTTATATTCTTATATTACTTGTTTACCTTTGAACAAATCCACGAACAACTCTATTTAATACGTGAGCTTGTTTTTGCATGTAAAGTATTTCATGGTTTGTACTGTCCTTTTTTTGTCCGATCGAAATTGGTTGTACAAAATTTGTTATAAATTCGTCTCTTGATCCAAAAAAATTAGGACGAATGAAATTGATCATACACCAATATTCGATCAAATTATTTTGCATTGGTGTTCCTGTTAATAAAAGCCTTCGTTTGGTTCGTACTTTTCCAAGTGCTAATGTTATTTTACTTTCTGGATTTTTTATTTTATGACCTTCGTCACAAACAACCAAATCAGGTCCTGGATCAACAAGTTGTGTAAATAAATTCTTTTCTTCAGACATTGAAGCATAACATTCATATCCAATTAGTAAAATTCCTTCTTTTCTCGTCCACCAATTTTCTGAAATGAAAGAGTTTTAATATTAAAGCAATTTGATATTAATGTTGAATATTATTATTAGATATAAGTGATGAGTACTTACCAATTATCAATTTTTTTTCTTCTTTTGTCTTCCCATTATTAGCAATAGAAATTTTGAATCTGTTGGGATTAGCAGTATCTTTAGGCAAAAATTTTTTAAATTCGTTGTACCAATTGGAAAGCAATGAAACTGGTGTAACAATCATTATGGTTTTTGAATTTGTATATTTCAAATAAATATCAATGAAACTTATCACTTGCAAAGTTTTCCCTAGTCCCATACTGTGGGCTAAAATACAACCAAATCCATTTGTTTTGTTTAAAGTGTCTAAATTTTCGATTAGATTGTCATAGAGAAATCTAATGCCACCAATTTGATGAGGTTTCAAAATTTTTGCCAATGATTCTCTTAAATAAATTGGATGTTCTTTATCACTATTCACATTTACCAAAACTCGTCCATTGTCATCAGGTTTGTTGAAAATATCAACTGTGTGAAAATATATTGAATTTTTTTCTTTTTCAAGATTTTCTAAAGTTGAATCTTCATAGTCATCGTCACTTGATTCAATTTCATATGGATTCACAAAGTTCATTCTATTTTTTGTTCTTTTTAATCTTTCTTTTTCATCATGTTGAGCTTTTAAAACTAATTCATTTGATGAAGAAAAATTTTGTATAAATTTTGATCTTTTAAATGGTAATTGAGGGAGGTTCAATTTACGTTTTGTACATTTATTGAATTGATTCATGATGTATCACTAATTTAATCAATTAGATAAATTATTAAAACTAAAAGTAATAACACAAATTAATGTTAATTGACAAAATTTTAATCAAGAAATTTCATTTGATTTAAAAAGCTATTCAACTGCAACTAAAAGCTCAATATTGTTTTTATCGAAAGTTGATATCGATAAATCGATAAAAATTCACATGCGCAGATCGGTATTGGACATTTTTTTGCTATAGCAAAATAATCTTTCTCTTGTCTCTATTGTTATTAATCTAATTGTGTTTTCGTTGTTGTGTGTTAGTGTTTTTTAGTTTTTCTCTTCTGTTATTTATTTAATTTAGTTTAATTGTCTATAATTAATCAACAGAGAAGTAAGAAAAAGAAGAAGATCAATTAATTAATTGTGTGTTTCCAACAATCAACCAACTGAAAGAAATTAAATCAATTGTGTTAACCGAAACAGCAACAAAACATCAACAACGACGAGTTAAAGTGTTAATTGTTTCCAATCTCTTTAAATCATCTTAAAATCAACCAATTAGTAAATTCTCACCAATAATAACCTGAAATCCTCCCCGAGAATCAACTTAATCACAATTAATTAATTCCATTTCCATATCATCCAGAATCTCTGGTCAAAAAGCCACAATCAGATTCTCATTCATCTCTATTGGTTTAATTATCTTTTCCTCCTTCTCCTCATCCTTTATCGTTAATTGCTGTTGATTTATTCGCTTAATTATCTCCTGTTAATCTTCTTAATCATCATCATCATCATCATCATAATTCTCTCTTAATTAATAAATTCTAAAATCGATTGCAAACTCCATTCGAAACGGAACCGGAACCGATAAATTTTCGCTTCTTTTTTTTCTTCCTCTTCTTCAGTATATTTGTTTTCTATTCTTCATGTTTCAATTTCTATCATCATCATCATCATCCATTTATCATCATCACCATCGCACCAATTTAATTCTGATTATCTCAAATATCCATATGATTAACTGATTTAATCCTATTCTGTTAATTTTTTTCTCATATAATATATTTATCAACCTAAACCCTCAGAGAGGGAAACTGGAAACCTAAACATCAGATTAATCAATAATTTGTAGCTGATTGTGAGTTTATCATGGATTAAATAATGATACTACAATTAATCAACATTCATCATCATCATTAACAATTGATATTAATCAATAGGAAACATCGAGCTTGCAGAAAACAACAATAAAGGTAAACAGATATAACCAAAGAAGCTCAAGTATATTTATTAATCTCTAATCCCTGTAAACAACAATGTGATGGTTGAAAAGATAATCTCATCGGTGTAATATTTTTAATCTACTTTATTTGGATAAAGGTAAAACTCTGTGGATGTCGCCATCATCATCTTCATCATCCTCATCTTCATCTTCATCTTCATCATTATCACCATTTTCACCCAGTTCATTTTTTAGTGTTGAATTGTAGAGTTGACAATTAGTTGTGTTTTTAACTAATTAGTCTTGTTAAATCATTTTCTATTTTCATTTAATTTATTATCCAGCTTAATTTCACTTGTCACAATTAGAAGGGCAAATAAATAACATGTTAACAATTAGTAAATCATCGCAATTCACCACTAAAGGTGAAAGATTATCAACCGGAAAACCGGTGAAAACCAGGACAAAATTAATCAATTGCACAGTTTTACCAGCTGATTGTAAGAAGATAATTATTCAATCGCAAAGGGAAACAATTAACAATCAACAAGATGATTCGATTATAAATAAACAGCATTTCTCTCACTTTTGTCTAATCGGTTCAACAATTAAATCAATCATTGTCTTTTTGGTAAAAACCTTTTGGATCCATTGGATTATCCCAATTGTGGTAATCCTTTTATTTCAATCTTCGAGGTATAATTTTTCCTCCGCCTTACCTCATGATGATAATCTCTTTTATGCCGATTCATCATTCCCCTCATCATCATCATCATCTTCATCATCTTCATCTTCATCATCGTCGTTTTCAAGTTATAATCAAATTCATTATTCAGCATATCAAAATGATCCCTTAATTGTGTTAACCAACAAAGGTTATGTTCGTGGTCGTTCAGTCACCTCGCCCACAGGTAAACCAGTCGATGCTTTCTTAGGTATTCGTTATGCAAAACCACCCACCGGCCGATTCCGTTTCCGTCACCCTAAGCCAGTCGACTCTTGGGAGGGTATTTTTAATGCAACCTCATTTTCGGGTGCATGTTTCCAGGTAAATGACACCTTTTTTGGTAACTTTAAAGGTGCCACCGAATGGAATCCAAATGTACCTTTAGATGAAGATTGTCTTTCTGTTAATATTTGGGTACCACGTCCTAGACCCAAATCAGCGGCAGTTTTACTTTGGATCTATGGAGGTGGCTTTTGGTCGGGAACCTCATCCCTTGACTTTTACGATGGATCCGTCCTGGCAGGGGAAGAGTCAATTATATTTGTCTCAATTAATTATCGAGTTGCCTCCCTTGGATTCATCTTTTTTGACACCTCTGATGCACCCGGTAACGCGGGTCTTTTTGATCAGCTAATGGCAATGGAATGGATTCGAGATAATATCGCCGCTTTCGGTGGTAATCCGGCAAATATAACGATCTTCGGTGAATCAGCTGGAGCCGTTTCAGTTGCCCTTCATTTACTTTCCCCGCTCTCACGTAACGTTTTCAGCCAAGCAATATTACAATCTGGTTCGGCCACTTGCCCTTGGGCAATTGTTGATCGTAACAAAGCTTATGCACGAAGCCTCGCCTTGGCCCGTTCGGTTGGATGTGATTCACACACCACACGAAAAGACCTAAAGTCAATCATTGAGTGTATGCAATCTATACCCGCCTCTGTATTGGTTGCAAAAGAAGAGGTGACCACCGGTGTGGTTGATTTTGCCTTTATTCCGATAGTTGATGGTTCATTTCTCGATGAGGATCCAGAGATTTCATTGAGAACCAAGAATTTCAAGCACACCGCCATCTTGACAGGTTCCAATCGAGATGAGGGAACTTATTACCTAGTCTATCATTCACCTCACATATTTAACCTCTCGGAGAGTGTTTATGTTTCCCGAGCTGAATTTCAATCTCTCATACGAACAATTTATCCTCATCTTTCCCCTCTGGCTCAAGAATCAATCATCTATGAGTATACACATTGGGTTAATCCTGATGATCAGATTGAAAATCGTGAAGCAACCGATAAGTTTGTCGGTGATTATCAATTCACTTGTCCAGTTAACGAGATGTCCTATCGATACGCTTTATCGGGTAACGATGTTTGGTCTTATTATTTTAATCATCGATCATCTAAAAGCTTTTGGCCTTCATGGATGGGGGTAATTCACGGAGAGGAGATCAAATTTGTCCTTGGTGAACCTTTAGATCCAGTTCATGGCTATACTCAGGCGGAAGTTCAGTTAAGCAGGCGAATCATGAGATATTGGGCTAACTTTGCGAAAACAGGGTAAGTAATAATACAAGAATGATCGTAATTCATTACGAAAATTGGTTAATTGTTACGAATTAAATTGATCTTCAGGAATCCCAATCGACAGTCTATCGAAAGTGACGCTACGGAGAGTATAGTGTGGCCTGAGTATACCGCTCATGAGAAAGAGTATCTGGTCATTTCGACCAACGATTCATCAATCGGACGAGGTCTTCGGGCAAAACAATGTGCCTTTTGGAAAAACTTTTTACCCCAACTAATCAACGCTCTAGGTGAGTAACAATTAGATTTAATTGTAACGATAAACTTGATTCATTTTCTAATCAAAGGCAAACACAATTGCAATTACAATTTCTTTTGGAAAAAGACAAAAAGTTGATTACTCTTTGTTTCACTTCATTGATTAATTTTCTCACTTAATTGTGTTATTGATTTTTCACTACAATCTAGAGGTGAGGGAAAGAAGAAAAAAAAAGTTAATTATAACAATTAACTTCTTAATAAAAAGTAATTACAATTTATGAATTATTAATCAAACGCGAAACATTTAATTCATGTTCATTTAAATTGATGCCAGTCAAAAACTTATCATTAGTTAATTTTAAATGAACATTAATTTTGATATACAATTGATTGTGTTTAAGTTGAATGAATTATTTTCTCAACTATTAATAATTAATTGGACAATTGGACAATTAAAAATAATGATAGAACCGCAATAACAATAGATACTAATAGTAGTAAATTGTCATAAACAATTGGTAATGGTCAACATTTAATAAGCAAATATATTAGCCAATCGTTTGTTCAAATATAATGTTGCATTAAAATGATTGTGATCTTGGTGATTATCATCATGTAAATGAATCTGTATTCTGAACTGAATTGTTATCTTTGCAAGAAACTTTATCCCGATATTGCAACTAAACTTATCTGATTAAAACTTAAGCATCTCTATTACAAGTTCACACTTTGATGATAATGATGCGGATGATTATTTTTATCTTCATCTTGTTCATCCTTCCAGAATAAAATGACAATCTCAATGTTGATCATGAATCTGAACAATTCTCATCTTTATCTCCATCGTCTGGTCAAAACTAATGACACTTTCATTGCCTCATGAGATTCACCCTATAAAATGGTCAATCTCAAAGTTCTGGTCAGTTTTTCAAAATGTCCAGTTATCCCAATCCCTTTTTTAGACCCTTATCATCATCCTCATCATCCTCATCATCATCCTCATCCTCATCCTCATCCTCATCATCATTAACTGACAATAAAAACAATTTAGATTGGATAAGTTTTCACTCCAAGAATCTCAATCCCTTGGAATACATTTAACAACCTATCCAATCAACAAATTGTTACAATTAACAGTTTCCCA